AATGCTGGGATGTTCAACACTGGGATGTGCAGTGTTGGGATGTTCAACACTGGGATGTGCAGTGTTGGGATGCACAATGCTGGGATGTTCAACATTGGGATGTGCACTGTTGGGATGTTCAACACTGGGATGTGCAGTGTTGGGATGTACAGTGCTGGGATGCGCAATGCTGGGATGTTCAACACTGGGATGTGCCACGTTGGGATGTTCAACACTGGGATGTGCAGTGTTGGGATGCGCAATGGCAGAGCCTGGAGGTGTAACACCAGGACCAGCAACCCCCGGGATACACAACCCTGTGCTGTGAGCTGCTGGGACATGCAATGTGGGATATGTGATCCTGGGACGTGGAGCACTGTGACATGCAGCGCTGGGATATGCAACACCGCCATATGCACTCCTGGGACACGGAACACCAGGATATGCAATCCTGGGACACGTGGTGCCAGGGTTTGCAATGCTGGGATATGATACTGGGACATGTGTTGCTGGGACATGCAACACCAGGACGCACAATGGAGGGACACACAGCACCGGGACACACAGCACTGGGACACACAGCATGGAATGGCAGCCATGTGATGCTGGGACACACAGCACTGGGACACACAGCACTGGGACATACAGCATGGAATGGCAGCCATGTGATGCTGGGACACACAGCACTGGGACACACAGCACTGGGACACACAGCACCGGGACACACAGCATGGAATGCCAGCCATGTGATGCTGGGACACACAGCACTGGGACACACAGCACTGGGACACACAGCACCAGGACATACAGCATGGAATGCCAGCCATGTGATGCTGGGACACACAGCACTGGGACACACAGCACCGGGACACACAGCACCGGGACACACAGCACCAACCCTGCCACCAGCCAGGACCTTTCCCCCCCTTCCCAGGAAGAACATCTGAGCTGGGATCCAGCCCCACACATGGAAGAGGAGAGGAAATCCGCTCATTCCAGCCCCTAATTGGGCACTGGGGATCCTATGGAGCTGCTGCCTCCTCCCTGAGCATGGAGGTCAGAAACCACCAGCACCACCAGCACCACCAGCACCACCGCTTCCTCTGTGCTGGGGCCACGGTCCGGGGTCACCCCACCCGTGGAGGGGATGGATGATGGATGGATGCATGGATGGATGCATGGATGGACTGGAGCCTCCATTGTGGTCCTAACGCCGGCTGGCAGGGAAGGGGTTAACTCCCTGCTTTTAATTGGGGGGTGGCTGGTAACGAGGACCCAGAACTTGCTCTAATCTCTCTGGAATGTGACCGATTTTCAACCATTTCCCCCCTCCTGGTTTTGTTCCCCCCCTAATAGCTCCAGTGTGCCGCTCGCGCCGGCCCCGCACGTGCGGGGACACTGGGAGCTGTGTCCGCGCTTCCCGAGGGGAAGGGGCTTCAGTTTTCCACATTAGCACTGAACCGTTCGCCACCACCCCCCCCTCTCTTTGTATATTTTGAAAGGGTCCCCCCCTTCCTCTCCCCTCCCCGGCCTCCCGAAACGGCCTCACCATGAGAAGAAGCCTTTTATACCCCCGGCTTCCCCCCCTTGCGCCGTCCCCCAGCGGCTTCTCCGCTTACAGAATAGACGAGAAAGCCCCTTTGTGAGGGGGGCAGCGGGCAGGGGATGGTGAGGAGGAGCCACGGGCACCCGGTGGGGACATGGGGGGCATCTCCTGCCGTGCCCCGGCCCCATTGGGTGGTGAGGACCAGAGCATGGCCATAGGGAGCTTAAAGCTCACCCAGCTCCAACCCCTGCCATGGGCAGGGACCCCTTCCACTGGAGCAGCTTGCTCCAAGCCCCTGTGTCCAACCTGGCCTTGAGCACTGCCAGGGATGGGGAAGTGTTCTTGTCTGGCCCCAGCCATGGGGATGCCCATCTTGTGCGTTGCCCTTTGGAGCATCATGGAGGTGCTGGGGTATCTCGTGTGCGGCCCCAGTGCAGCCATGGGGACGTTGGGGCATCCCCTGCATCGCCTTGGCATGGGCACAGGGGTGTTGGAGCGAGTGCAGAGGAGGCCATGGGGATGCTGCGAGGGCTGGAGCAGCTCTGCTCTGGAGCCAGGCTGAGAGAGCTGGGCTGGGGCAGCCTGGAGAAGAGAAGGCTCCTGAAGGGGAGACCTGAGAGCAGCTCCAGTGCCTAAAGGGGCTGCAGGAAACCTGGAGAGGGGCTTGGGACAAGGGCCTGTAGGGACAGGCCAAGGGGAATGGCTTGAACCTGCCCGAGGGGAGACTGAGCTGAGCTCTGAGGCAGACCCAAACCCGCATGATTCTTCATTGGGCCACCTCTGGCACGGCCTCAGGGATGCTCATGGCACTGCCTCGGCCACGCTGCCGCTGGGAGCATCTCCAGGAGCATCCCCATGCTAAACCCTCTCCCCATCCAGCTCCAGTGGCCCTCGGCTCTGCAGAGCCAGCCCGGTGGTGCTGGGCTGTTGTTGGCAGGCAGACCCAGCCCGGGTCCGGCACTGCTCACATACCAGGCGTGCTCCAGCGAGCCCTGGCTCCCTGCCTCCTCCTCCACAAGTGGCCTCTGGTTGTGGCTCCCTGGTACTGATGGGTCCTTCCTGCCACCGTTATCCCAGCAGGGCCAGGAATCTCCCTTGGGGATAGTGCGTGGAGCATCGGGACCGGGGTGCTGGAGCATCCCTGTGCGCGCAATGGGGATGGGTGAGCGGTTTGAGGCCTTGGAGTAGGATTTGGGGGGGTTCCCTGTGCCTGCACTGGGGTTCACAGGAAATCCTCACCCTGGGCTCATTGGGATCATGCTGTATCCAGTGGGGCTTCCAGCAGCAGCATCCCAGCACGCTCTGGATGGGCTTCACTCGGCTCTTGGGGCTGGTGGGGTTGTGGCTTACCCGGGGTTGTGGGGTTGGTGGTGGAGTGGGACCGAGCACCAATGGACAGGGGGTGCTGGAAGAGGGCTGGGGATGGAATACTGGGAATGGAGAGGGGTGATACTGGTGACATAGGAAGGATGCTGGAGACAGAGGGGGGTGCACTGGAGGTGCAGGAGAAGAAGCAGAATGGATGTCGGGGGGGTACTGGAGATGCAGGAAGTGGTGCAGGAAAGGATGGGGGCACGCAGGAAGGGATGCAGGAGGGGATGGGGGGACACAGGAAGGGATGCAGGAGGGGATGGGGGGAAGCAGGAGAGGATAGAGGGAAGCATGGGGGGATGCAGTAGGTGTGTCCGGATGGATGCAGGAAGGAATGGGGATGTAGAAGGGGACAGGGAGAAGCAGGAGGGGATAGGTGGATGCAGGAGGGATGCAGGAGGGTATAGGTGAATGTAGGAGGGATGCAGGGGGGGATAGGTGAATGCAGGGGCGGGATGCAGGAAAGGATGGGGGATGCAGGAGGGGATGGGGAGAAGTGAGAGGGGATAGGTGGATGCAGGAGGGGATAGGTGAATGGAGGGGGGATGCAGGAAAGGATGGGGGATGCAGGAGGGGACAGGGAGAAGCAGGAGGGTATAGGTGAATGCAGGAGGGATGCAGGAGGGGATAGGTGGATGCAGGGGGGATGCAGGAGGGGATGGGGAGAAGCAGGAGGGTATAGGTGGATGCAGGAGGGATGCAGGAGGGGATAGGTGAATGCACGCGGGATGCAGGAAAGGATGGGGGATGCAGGGGGGATGCAGGAGGGGATAGGGGGATGCAGGGGGGATGCAGGAAAGGATGGGGGATGCAGGAGGGGATGGGGAGAAGCAAGAGGGTATAGGTGGATGCAGGAGGGATGCAGGAGGGGATAGGTGGATGCAGGGGGGATGCAGGAGGGGATAGGGGGATGCATGGGGGATGCAGGAAAGGATGGGGGATGCAGGAGGGGATGGGGAGAAGCAAGAGGGTATAGGTGGATGCAGGAGGGATGCAGGAGGGGATAGGTGGATGCAGGGGGGATGCAGGAAAGGATGGGGGATGCAGGAGGGGATGGGGAGAAGCAAGAGGGTATAGGTGAATGCAGGAGGGATGCAGGAGGGGATAGGGGGATGCAGGGGGGATGCAGGAGGGGATGGGGATGCAGGGGGATGGGGGATGTAGGAAGGAGGGATGCAGGGGATAGGAGGGGAGATGCGGGTGCAGGAAAGGATGGGGGGCAGGAGGGGATGGGGAGAAGTTGGAGGGTATAGGTGAATGCAGGAGGGATGCAGGAGGGGATAGGTGGATGCAGGGGGGATGCAGGAAAGGATGGGGGATGCAGGAGGGGATGGGGGATGTAGGAGAGGATGGGGATGCAGGAGGGATGCAGGAGGGGATAGGTGAATGCAGGGGGGATGCAGGAAAGGATGGGGGATGCAGGAGGCGATGGGGGTGCAGGAAGGGATGAGGGGCACAGGATGGATGCTGGAGGCAATGAGGAGCTGCTGGAGCCTGGGGAAGCGGGAGGCGATGCAGGAGGCACATGGGACACTTTGGGGTCCCTTGCAGAGGCCACGCTGGCAGGGAAGCCCGTGCCCAGGCAGGCAGGGGTTAACGCTCCCGCAGCTCCTCGCTGGGGCTGGGTTTCCCTTCCAGCTGCTTGGGATCAGGATCAGGAGGGTTTGGACGTGGGGAAATTCCTGCGCGCAGCTGCGGCCCGTCCGGGGCCACATTCCCCAGCTCCGGCATCCCGAGGGAGCCGCCTCCGGCCGCGCCACAAAGCACCTTTCTTTGGGGTGTCCGACCCCCCCACAATAACCCCGCATTTGCCCTCCCTGCAGCGTGGGGCTGGGTTTGTGCCCTGTGGCAATGGGAGGTTGGTGCCCGAGTCCAAGGGGGCTGCTCTAGGTGGCATCAGCGTGGGCAGGGAGGGATGTGGGGATGGTGGCTCCCCAGTGAGGGAGCAGGGATTTGGGGTTGGGGTTTGGCTGGAAACAGCCCCGTGTGCCCCCAAAACCCCTTTGCCACCAGCCCAGGGTCACCCCCATGGGTCAGGGGGCCCCAGCCGGGACTGGGGGTGTTTGGGGTCTGGTGCAGGCCATGACCCCCAGCTCCCCTGCAGTACCTGCAGATGAAGTGGCCGCTGCTGGACGTGCCCGCTGGTGCCACATTGAAGGACAGCCGCTCACCCTCACCCGCACACTTGGTAAGAGCATCCGCATCCCACCGGGATGAGGGGTACCCAGGGGAACCCCGCTCCAGCTCCCAGTGATGCTGATGGGAGCTCGCTTCATCCCTCCCTCCCTCCCCAGTCGAACAAGGTGCCGGTGGTGCAGCACGCCCATCACATGCACCCGCTGACGCCGCTCATCACCTACAGCAACGACCACTTCTCACCGGGTTCACCCCCCGGGCACCTCTCACCCGAGATCGACCCCAAGACGGGTGAGCAAAGGGACCGGAGCTGTGCTGGGAATGGGGGGGTCTCTGTTGGATGGGCCCACTGCTTCCCGATGGATTCCACAGCTGGGCGCTGGGTGGTGGGAAGGGGATGGAGCTGGTGGATGGGGATGGGTCCTCGCCTGGCTCAGGGTTGGTTGGGGTGAGTGGGATCCTTCCGGGTCTCAGCATCCCCTCCCCATGCTGCTGATGAGCAGAAGGGTGCTGGGAGAGAGGTGGGATGCTTGGAGGAAGATGGGATGCTTGGAGGAAGATGGGATGCTTGGAGTGAAATGGGATGCTTGGAGGAAGATGGGATGCTTGGAGTGAAATGGGATGCTTGGAGTGAAATGGGATGCTTGGAGGAAGATGGGATGCTTGGAGGAAGATGGGATGCTTGGAGGAAGATGGGATGCTTGGAGTGAAATGGGATGCTTGGAGGAAGATGGGATGCTTGGAGGAAGATGGGATGCTTGGAGGAAGATGGGATGCTTGGAGGAAGATGGGATGCTTGGAGTGAAATGGGATGCTTGGAGTGAAATGGGATGCTTGGAGGAAGATGGGATGCTTGGAGGAAGATGGGATGCTTGGAGTGAAATGGGATGCTTGGAGTGAAATGGAATGCTTGGAGGAAGATGGGATGCTTGGAGGAAGATGGGATGCTTGGAGGAAGATGGGATGCTTGGAGGAAGATGGGATGCTTGGGGGAAGGTGGGATGCTTGGAGGAAGATGGGATGCTTGGAGGAAAATGGGATGCTTGGAGGAAGATGGGATGCTTGGAGTGAAATGGGATGCTTGGAGTGAAATGGGATGCTTGGAGGAAAATGGAATGCTTGGGAGTGAAATGGGATGCTTGGAGTGAAATGGGATGCTTGGAGTGAAATGAGATGCTTGGAGGAAGATGGGATGCTTGGAAGGAGATGGGATGCTTGGAGGAAGACAGGGTGATTGGAAGGAGATGGGATGCTTGGAGGGAGACAGCATGATCGGAAGGAGATGGGATGCTTTGAAGAAGACAGGATGCTTGGAAGGAGATGGGATGCTTGGGGGGAGACAGGGTGATTGGAAGGAGATGGGATGCTTGGAGGGACACAGGATGCTTGGGGGGAGCTGGAGTGCTCAGAGGAAGGGTGCATGGGGGCAGACGAGTCACTGGGAGCCCAGTGTGTGCTCAGGGACCGTGCCCATGTTCTAACACCTTCCCCTTCCCCTCCCTCCCTCCTCGGCAGGAATCCCACGGCCGCCGCACCCCTCGGAGCTGCCCCCCTATTACCCGCTGTCACCGGGAGCCGTGGGCCAGATCCCGCACCCGCTGGGCTGGCTCGTGCCGCAGTAAGGAGGGGCCATGTCCCGTGGGCCCCCTTCTCTTCCCACTTCATCCCATTGTCCACGCAGTGGGATGCTGATGGGGCGGGTGGGAAGGGGGGAGATGGGGATATGGAGATGGGACCAAGGGGATGGGCAGGGGTGGGTTCTCCATTCTCCACTAAAGCTGGTGTGCTTGCAGGCAAGGGCAGCCCGTGTACTCCATCCCTCCCGGTGGCTTCCGGCATCCCTACCCTGCCCTCGCCATGAACGCCTCCATGTCCAGGTTTGTCTCTGCAAGGGATGAGGAACCCTCCTTGGGCACCCCAGAGGTGGCAGTGGGATCTTAGCTCCATCCCTGATTTGGTCCCCATGGGCAGGGGGAAAGTGCCAACCCATGAGCATCACTTGGGTACATGATACACCATGGAGCTGGTGCTCTCTTAACCGAGGAGGTTCTCAGGAGGGTTTGGGTTGGAACCCGTGGCTCTTGGTGCCAATGGGGAGCTGAGAAGCCCTCTCACCCTGCTCCCTCTGCTCCAGTTTGATGTCCAGCCGCTTCTCCCCACACATGGTCCCCCCCCCGACCCATGCACTGCATCCCTCGGGCATCCCGCACCCCACCATCGTCTCGCCCATCGTGAAGCAGGAACCCAGCCAGCCCAGCGTCAGCCCCGGAGGCAACACGTGAGTGTGGGGCAGAGCACCCCAGGGACAGGGGCAGAGCGGGTCCTGACCCCATCTCGTTGCAGGAAATCCCCCGTCACTGTGAAGAAGGAGGAGGAGAAGAAGCCCCACATCAAGAAGCCGCTGAACGCCTTCATGTTGTACATGAAGGAGATGAGGGCCAAGGTGGTGGCCGAGTGCACGCTGAAGGAGAGCGCTGCCATCAACCAGATCCTGGGCAGACGGGTACGGGCATTTCCATTGGCGTTGGCCTTGTGTCCCTGTGCTGGTTTGGGTTGGAGGGAACCTTAAAGCTCCTCCAGCTTCAACCCCTTCCATAGAGCAGCTTGCTCCAAGCCCCTGTGTCCAACCTGGCCTTGAGCACTGCCAGGGATGGGGCAGCCACAGCTTCTCTGGGCACCCTGTGCCAGCGCCTCAGCACCCTCACAGGGAAGAGCTTCTGCCTAAGAGCTCAGCTCTGCCTCCCCTCGGGCAGGTTCAAGCCATTCCAAGGTGGGAATGGGATGTGAGCCCTGCAGGCACAGGGCAGCGTGTCCTGGGAGCTGCAGCGTGGTCTCTTCTCCCTTCTCCCTTCTCCCTTCTCCCTTCTCCCTTCTCCCTTCTCCTCCCTTCTCCCTTCTCCTCCCTTCTCCCTTCTCCCTTCTCCCTTCTCCCTTCTCCCTTCTCCCTTCTCCCTTCTCCCTTCTCCCTTCTCCCTTCTCCCTTCTCCCTTCTCCCTTCTCCCTTCTCCCTTCTCCCTTCTCCCTTCTCCCTTCTCCCTTCTCCCTTCTCCTCTCCTCTCCTCTCCTCTCCTGTTCTCCCCTGCAGTGGCACTCGCTGTCGCGGGAGGAGCAGGCGAAGTACTACGAGCTGGCACGGAAGGAGCGGCAGCTCCACTCGCAGCTCTACCCAACGTGGTCAGCGCGGGACAACTACGTAAGTGATGGGATGTGGGAGCGGCGGGGATGGGGGCCTGGGATGGGGTCTCTGTCTGGGGTGAGGTGTCCATTGGGATGGGGTGTCCATTGGGATGGGGTGTCCATTGGGATGTGTCCATCTGGGATGAGGTGTCCATTGGGATGGGCTGTCCATCTGGGATGTGTCCATCTGGGATGAGGTGTCCATCTGGGATGGGGTGTCCATCTGGGATGTGTCCATCTGGGATGAGGTGTCCATCTGGGATGGGGTGTCCATCTGGGATGTGTTCATCTGGGATGTGTCCATCTGGGATGTGTCCATCTGGGATGTGTCCATCTGGGATGGGGTGTCCATTGGGATGAGGTGTCCATTGGGATGAGGTGTCCATCTGGGATGGGGTGTCCATCTGGGATGTGTCCATCTGGGATGGGGTGTCCGTCTGGGATGTGTTCATCTGGGATGTGTCCATCTGGGATGTGTCCATCTGGGATGTGTCCATCTGGGATGAGGTGTCCATTGGGATGGGGTGTCTATCTGGGATGGAGTGTCCACTGGGATGGGGTGTCCATTGGGATGGGGTGTCCACCTGGGATGAGGTGTCCATTGGGATGGGGTGTCCATCTGGGATGGGGTGTCCATTGGGATGGGGTGTCCATCTGGGATGTGTCCATCTGGGATGGGGTCTCTGTCTGGGATGGGGTGTCCATTGGGATGGGGTGTCCATTGGGATGGGGTGTCCATCTGGGATGTGTCCATCTGGGATGGGGTGTCCATTGGGATGGGGTGTCCATCTGGGATGGGGTGTCCATTGGATGGAGTGTCTATCTGGGATGAGGTGTCCATTGGGACGGGGTGTCCATCTGGGATGAGGTGTCCATTGAGATGGGGTGTCCATCTGGGATGGGGTGTCCATTGGGATGGGGTGTCCATCTGGGATGTGTCCATCTGGGATGATGTGTCCATCCGGGATGGGGTCTCTGTCTGGGATGAGGTGTCCATCTGGGATGTGACCATCTGGAATGTGTCCATCTGGGATGGGGTGTCCATTGGGATGAGGTGTCCATCTGGGATGAGGTGTCCATCTGGGATGTGTCCATCTGGGATAGGGTGTCCATCTGGGATGCGGTGTCCCCTCCTGTCCCTCGCTCTATGTTTGGCTCATTGCTCTGCTCATGGAGCAACCTGAGCTGCTGGTGCTGAGTCCCTGCAGATGCACCCCTCTCAGGGGCACCCTCATCCCTACCAACACCCCCGGGGTCTCTCCGGTGTCCCAAACCCCCTGAGCACTTCCTAACCCTCCCCAGGGCAAGAAGAAGAAGAGGAAGCGGGAGAAGCTGGCACAGCAGCAACAGCAGCAACAGCAGCATCAGAGCCACGACACAGACAGTGAGTACCACCCCCCCCAGCCCCATTCCCCCTATGGGGCTGCTCCCACTCACTCCATCCCACCCCATCCCAGGCTCCCTGGTATCCAAGAGCAAGAAGCCATGCGTGCAGTACCTGCCGGCCGACAAGCCCTGCGCCAGCCCTGCCTCATCGCACGGCAGCATGCTGGACTCGCCCGCCACGCCATCGGCAGCGCTGGCATCGCCGGCCGCGCCGGCAGCCACGCACTCGGAGCAGGCGCAGCCGCTGTCGCTCACCACCAAGCCGGAGGCCAGGCTCGGCGTGCATTCAGCCACCTTCCTCTCGGGCAAAGCCTCCTCTTCCTCCTCCTCCTCAAGCCTCAGCAGCCCGCCCTCGCTCCTCTCCAGACCCATCCCCTTCACCTCAGTGCCCTCCACGCCTCTCCTATCCTCGCCTCCATCCTTCGCGGCCACCATCCCGTCCCCACCGGCTGCTCTGGCCGTGCTGCAGACGCAGCCCCTCTCCTTGGTCACCAAACCTGCTGACTAAGGGAAAACCTTGTTCCGTCCCCCACCCCTGCTTCTCAGCCCCGGCCCGTCCGTCCCCTCCCTGCTGTACATTGCAGAAGCCACAATCAAGATTCAAACGCAGCCAAAACCGTTATTGGTCAATATTTGACCCTTTCTGAACTCTTTTGTAAGCAGACTCTGGAGGAAGGGGCTTTCTGCTCACACCTAAAGACCGTTTTTATTAATAAAAAAGCAAAAAACCACAAAAAAAAAGAAGAAAAAGCCCTTCCATAAGCTGCCCATGATGGAAACCTGCGGGAACAAAGCGAGTGCTCCCAATGCCAGGGGCAATCCAGCACGGAACGCAGCGGGCATCGCATCCATCCCGGAGGGCAAGAGCAGAAACACCAGCGACTGACCCGCTCCTGTCCTGTGGCTCTGCTCCCGGCCACAGCGATGCCTGGATCCTGCCCTGGGGATGCTCCGTGCCGCGGCCGTACCGGGGCTGAGCCCTGGCTTGGGGGTGTTTTCTCCCCATAAAACCCTGTTCTTTTTCACTAAAGGAAATAAAACCTCAGCTGTAACTCGCTGCGTGAGCGTGGTCAGTGCAGGGAGCGCTCCCTGCCCATCGCTGCCTCCTCCACAGCGCTCCGGTGCCACCGCATCCCAGCAAGCATCAGCCTGGGGTGCTCTGGTCCAGCCCCAGGTGCTTCCCTCGATGGGTACAGGGTGGTTTTGGGGTGTCCATTGGGGAGATACAGGCAGCAGGGTACGGGGTTTGGGTGAAGGAGGTGATGGGGTGCCGGAGGAGCGGGTGCTGTCTCATAGCAGGAGATGCAGGGTGCCCTGTGCCTGCTGCTTCCAACCCAGGGATGACACATGAGGATGAGAAAGGACCTGCACAAAAGCCACCCATGGGCACGCCATGGGTTTTCAACCAGTTGGAAGTTGTGGGTCAGTTTAACACTTGAGCTCATCAAGACTCCTCCTGTGCTATGTTTTTAACAGGGAAATCTCTCATTTTCAAGCTTCCCACTGAAAATCACAACCGTGTTTTTCTCTTGCAGGTTTAACCCCGTGCTGCTCCTGCCCAGGGGTGCTTTGTGCTGTCTATAGTCCTGTTCCATTCCCTTTCCTGAACCTCTTGGTTTGCACTGCCCAGGACCCAGCCTGGCTCCTCTCCCCCTGGCCCAGTGCTTGCATAGGGGGGGACCACGGTGTCCTCAGGCTCCCAGCAGCACCCAGACCCTCCCTGGGTGATGGGCTGAGCCCTTCCCACTCAGCTCTCAGTTTGGGGGTGCTTTTGCTCATTAATGGTATAACTGCTCCCTTTGCTGTGACATTTCTCTTTCCCTTTCCAGTGCTGAGCTGCTCGAGGAGCCACCAGGGAAGTGCTTTTAGCAGCAGATGTCCATGTGGAGGTAGAGGGGAAAAGGGACCATCCCCGCATCTTGTCCTTGAGGAGGATGCTGTCCTCATTACCAGATGTTGTGTGAGACAAGCGTGTGCCGTGGGGTGATGCCAGCATCTGGAACCCCATCGGATGGAACCCGGAGCATCTTTAGACCCTGCTGCAGCCCAGAGAGCCCTGATTTGGTGGCTGTTCCCACTCCACACAGGAGCTGGTTTGAGGTCCTTGCTTTCAAAGAACCCATCTGAAGCACTGGGCTAGGGCACGGTGCCTCCACCCCGGTACCCAAGAGCACCAGGCACGCAGCTTGCATTGATGGCATCCTGATGGTGCAAGATGCAGGCTCCAAAGGATCAGAGAGCCCCTGGAACCACGTGTGCCCATGGACTGGAAGCATCAAAACGCTGCTCCCATCATAGAGGCCGTTCCAAGGAGCCGGTTTCCATGCCTGGCTCGCATGCGGCCCCGCCGTGCCCAACACCGGGAGCGGGCTGCAGGCAAACAACTGCTTGAATTAGATTTCATGGGAAATTAAAGGCATGAAGAGACCTGTCACAAGAATTAGAGCCTGAACCGGAGCCAGACAGCTTCCAACAGATGTTGGACTTCAGCAGGAGAATATTCCTTTGTTTTGCTCTGCCTTTTCCCATACAGAAAAGGAACATCTGTTCCGATGCCTTCGCAGTGCTCCCAAACTGGGATAGGCTTGGATTATAGAAGAGAAGCAACTGGGCACCAAAGGCCTCTTGGCTTCTCCTGCAGGCTGGTTCTGTGTTGCTCCATCTCAAGAGGACACGTTGGAGCTCTCTTAGCTGATGGTGGTATCTACATACCCTTCATGCTGTATGGAAGTGTTGCATTTAGACAGGTTCCCAATAGGAAGCCACTGCACAACTCCTGCTCAGGCTTGGAGGTGACTTTTCTTCATAGGGTGCCCCCCATCACATCCAACAAAGGGGAAAAGGTCGGGGAGGGAATGAAATGAGGAAAACGTGGGTAGAAGATCTGCCCTTTGTGGGTGCTGAGGCGCTGGCACAGGGTGCCCAGAGAAGCTGTGGCTGCCCCATCGCTAGCAGTGCTCAAGGCCAGGTTGGAAGGGACCTTAACGCTCATCCAACCCCAACCCGTGCCCGTGGACCCCTTCCACTGGAGCATCTTGCTCCAAACCCTGGCCTTGAGCACTGGCAGTTATACCTCCATGAGCCTTTAACCCTGGATGCCGCTTCCATGCAGATCCCAGCCCCAGCCTCCTGCACCCATCACCGGGGTCTTATGGCTGGGCCCTGGTTCAAAGCTTGTCAAGAGCAAACCTGTGGTAGAGCTGGTGCTTTCCCTGCCGCTGTTTGGAAGCGGGGTTACTTCTGTCACCTCCATCCTCTTGCTTAATTACAGCATCTCCATCAAGCAGCTCCCCCCCCAGCTCTGGCTATTCACTAATTGAAATGCCTAATGAGGTCCCAGGGGTCTCCTGCAGAGATGGAGCTAATTAGAGGCTGCAGCAGCAATGAGAGGGAGCGTTCCTCAAACCAGGGGGGGGGATGCAGCAGATGTCCCGTTTCCCGGCCCCGCACTGGGCGCTCCATGGGCTCCAGGCTCCTACCATAGCAGCTGGTGCAGAGGCACTGGCTACACTTAATACATTTTAATTAGCATCATTAAATTGTTCCATTTGCTAATTGTTTCTCCTTTTGATCCTTTCTCCTGACCAGATTAGCCCTCAAGGGGAAAGGGATGGGATGGGGGATGCAGGCGCTTCTGACAAGGTGAGGACTTTATTAGCACCGAGTGCCTCAGTTGGTGCTCAATTCCCATCCGGATTCGGGTGTCCAGCCTGGTCTTGGTCATTGTGGGCATCCTCAGAACGAGTCATCCCCAAAAAGCAACATCCCACAAGGATTTCTGGGAAGAGATGAGGCAACCAAGCGAACCTGGCTGGAGTTGAAATGGACTGGAGCTGGTTTAAAGGTGATAAAGGACCAGCAGCTGCCATCACCTGAAAGGGAATTTCCTCCTTCTGCTTTGCAGACAGAATAATCCCCAATCCTCCTCCTTTCCCTCCCAGCACCCCACATCCGTGTTGAAGCCGTGTTGAAGCCAGAAGGAATTTCCTTCTTGTCCACATTGATGCAGCTTCCCGAGGGGGCAGCCACGGAGGTCAGGGCAGGTCACTGCTCCTGTTTATCCCAGTTTAGCCAAGTGCTAAAGGCAAAGGAGCCCGGAGCGAGGCACCAGCGCTGAGCTGATGTCAGCCTCAGGCTTGGTATCTTGGGCAGGATCCCATTCCCAGATGCATTGTTGTACATCCAGAGGAACTTGGCCTCTGTTCAGTTGCTCTTGACTTCCAGGGGGGTGAGTGAAAGCTGCAGTGGCTGGGCATGAGAAACGGCCCCGTTTGTCTGCTTTAAATCGCAGCAAAAGCACTGGGCCAACCGCTCTTGTGTCTCCTTAGAAAGGCAGGAATGGGCAGAACCGAGCTGCTGGGAATGCTGGAATGGGTTGAATTGAATAGAGGATGCGGGGGGGGGGAAAGAAGGCAAAATCGAGCACATAATCCATTGTGCTCTGAGGCCAAGTCAGGATTATTCCCCATGGTATTGTCGCTGCACAGGCCTCATTTGGTTGCATGGTGGATGGTGGTGGGGTATTTTTCCAGGTTTTAGTGTTAAATGGAGCAGCTGAAGGATCTGGGATGTTCCTGTGGTTCCTTCTAGGGACTTGGGTGCATGTCCCTCAGCAGGATGTCATGACAGGGATGAGACACCACGCTCTGGAGTGGCTGAGCACCAAGGATGTTCATCCTGGGTGGAGAGGAAGGCAAATCCATTGATCTGAAAGGAGTGAGGAAACGGGGAGAACAAATTGGGATTGACACTCATAAAGCAAATTACAGAGACCTGATGGTGTGATTCCTGCGCCTGGAAAACTGGTATCAAAGCTCTGGCTTTGGGAAGGACAGGCAAAGAGGCACAAAGATGTGCCCCCATGCCAAAGTCCCTAAAGAGAGGGACACGGACCTGTGCGGGGTCACCAGGCAGCAGTGATGGGCACGGGGAAAACCCAAGCAGAACATCTGGAGATCTTGGGTTTCCCAGCATCCCACAAAAGCCACGGCTCAGCCAACATCTGCTAGAAAAGGGATACAGCAAAGGAATGGACCTGAGGACATCAAATCCACCTGAGGAGCTCAGCTCCTGCCCAGACCACGGCAGGAGGATGACGGATGGATATGGGGAGCTTTCTTTGCTTCATCTGCATCAAGTGCGGGCTGGTTCCCATCCCCGGAGCGGAGCAGAGCGGGAGGCTGGAGAGGAGTGGGATTATCGGTGAAACGAGATGAAATCCTCACGGCTGTTCTGCTGACCGAGGAGGAGGGAGCCCAGGAGGGAGCAGGGACACAACCCATAGGGAGAGGTGGACATTGGGGCTGGATGAGGCATCAGGGATGAGCGATCCTCACAGGGAAGGCGCAAACAGCAGGGAGTCACGCGTGGTTAAGCCCCGCCCCTTAATCTACATAAACCACGCCCACTGCACAGCAAGTCACGCCCACAACGCCCGTACCACTCAAGCCCCGCCCCCTCCGCACGGCTGCTCTCGCCCCGCCCGCCGCGCCCCCGCTGTCGCGACATCTCGGACCGGAAGCGGAAGCGGAAGTGGTCAGTGCGGGGCCGCCATGCTGCAGCGGCTGCTCCTGCTGCTCCTGCTGCTCCTGCTGCTGCTGCGGCTTGACGGTGAGCGGGGGGGGGGGGGCGGCGGAGGGACCGGATCGGACGGGACCGGGGCGGGACGGGAGCGGTGGGGCCGCGGGTGACTGAGCTCTGTGTTCTGCAGCCCAGGGGCAGCAGCCACCGGAGCCCAGCGGAACGGCCCAGGCCGGAGGCGAGAAGCCTGTGGATGGAGCCAACGGGAGCGGAGGGCAGCGCTCCGGAACGGGACAGACACCAGGCGAGGAGGACAAGCAGGGCACGAGCAATGGAGAGGTGACACAGGAGGGCCACGCTGCTGGCGCTGGTAACGACCCACAGAAGCAGAATGGTGGTGGGCAGAAAGGCCAAAGCGGCAGCACGGGTACCCAGGGCAACACACAAGGGGGTGGCGCAGGTGGCAGTGGCCAGACCCAGGGCACCGGTGGCACGGATGAAGACAACAAGGCCAACAGCACGCAGGGTGGCAGCAGTGGTGGTACGAGCCAGAGCACCAACACCAGCAGTAACGACCAGAACGGGAGCAACAAGCAGGACAGCACAACTGAGAACCAGGGCACTGAGGACCAGAGCAACAACCCCAACAGTAACGGCAATACCGGCGGTGCTGACAACACTGCTGGCACAGGCGAGAACCAGGGCACCGGCACTGAGAACAGGAGCAAGACCAGCGACGGTAACAGCGGGAATCAGGTCACTGGCCAGAACACTGACACCGAGAGCCAGGGGAGCAATGCTGAGGGTGGGAGCAAGAATGGGGAGACCAGCAGTGAGAAACAGGGTAGCAAGGCTATCAAGAGCCAGGCCAACAAGAACACTGAGGATGCGAACCAGGCCAACAACCAAGATGGTAACGGTGGGAACCAGGCCAACAGCCAAGGCACCAGCACCAAGGACAAGGAAAGTGATGACAAGAACCAGGAAAACAGCCAGGAGAGTACCAATGGGAACCAGGAGGGTAACGATGGGAACCAGGAGAGTAACGATGGGAACCAGGAGAGTACCAATGGGAACCAGGAGAATAACGATGGGAACCAGGAGAGTGATGATGGGAACCAAGAGAGTAACGATGGGAACCAGGAGAGTGACATTGGGAACCAGGGCAGTGATGGGGGCTCACCGAGGGATAAAAACATGCCACTGCAATCAGCTTCCTCTGCTGGTGAGGACGACAGCTTCTTAGAGAATGAAGAAACCCCCAGGGAGGAAGAGGAAGGGGGTAAAGGCAGCAGCGATGCTTCCTCCTTTGCTAGGGAGAGAGGGAAGAGCCTTCCTTCTCCCAGGGACCAGTCAGAGAGCAGCCACTTCTTTGCCTACCTGGTGACCACTGCGATTATCGTCGCTGCCTTGTACGTGGCGTATCACAACAAGCGCAAGGTGAGAGGCATTGGTTTGATATAATAACACTAATATTATTGTTCAGTTAATATTAAGCCTTGACCCAACAGCTTTGGGAGGAGGAGGGAGGGTGCTGGAGCTGGGAAAAGGGTTGGATCGCTGTGGGAATCCGGTGGCCTCAGCTCTGGTGGTTATTTTCAGCTGAGAGAGGTGAAAAGGAGGAGGTAAGTGATGATACCCCAGTGTTTTCCTGCTGACAGGGAGCTCTCTGGAGCAGGTTGCAGGAGGTTTGTCCTTAAATGGTCTTCACAAGGGATGTAACTGGTTTCTGATGGGTATTTTTTTCCTCCTGTAAAGCTATTTTAGGGGTAGGAGGCAGAAAACAACCTCTTGTTTGCTGTGTGTTAGGCAGACCTCAGGTACCGCCTGCTTCCCATCTGTGCTGGCTGTAGTATTGGCATGCACTTGTTGCAAGTGCTTTGGAACGAGCTTTAGGAAGCACTTGTGTTTGAAGTGAGGAAAAGCTGATTTGGTCGCTGCTGTCTCACTCATCTTGTCCTCGGTTCTCTCTCCCCAAAGATCATTGCTTTTGCTCTGGAAGGAAAAAGATCCAAAAGTGGTCGACGACCCAAATCTGGCGACTATCAGAGACTGGATCAGAAGGTAAAATGTGCCCAAAAGCGGAGCTGGGCAGGTTCTGGGGCTGGTCTGGGTGGTGAACACAGCCCCTTGGCCTCTTGCCCTGGGAATGGGCCTGAAGCCACGCGGGGTTGGGGTTGGAAAGTTGGATTCTTAAGCAAAAGCCCTGCTTTTGGTGTAGAAACAGGGAAGCGCTGAGAAATGGTGGCAGAGCTAACACAGGGTGGAGGATTGGGAGCCCTGAGCTCGGCTGTGCCGGGTCATGGGCTCAAATGGCTTTTTCCCAAGAGGATTTTAGCAGGAAAAGGGCAGGATTTGGGGACTTTTTCCCCCTTGAACCTTTTCTCCCCGGTTGTCCCTGAAGCTGGAAGAGTCTGCAGTTATTTTCTGCAGTAGGAAGAGGAGGAGACAAGGGAAGGAAGCAGGAAGTCACCTGAAGCTGAAGCTCAGGCTTCGGGAAGGCTGTTGCCATGTGGGGGACCATGACAATGCACATTCCAAATGGGATTAGGGATTTTCCCTGTTGCAGTCGAGCAGTGCCCAGCTCAGTGTTGCTGTTGGGAGCAGTGCTCTTCCTTCCCAAACTGCAGCCGTACCTGGCTGGAGAAGCCACCCAAATGCCACGGGGATGGTTTTCCTGCTTCAGTTTCCCTATTTAACCTCACCAGGAATTCCCTGCCTCGTCCCTGGGGCACAGTAGAGCAGGCAGGCAGTTAGGAAGAGCTCATTGGAGACACGCATCCCACTCTGCTTTCTCAGAGCAGAAGAGCAATGCTGAGCTGTCACCTTGCTTTTTGCCTTTCCAGATCTAGCTCACTCCTTGGACCCTCAGCGCAGTGATGGATGGCATTGAAAGCGCAGGAACCCCAGGACACCTCTGCCTCCCCCGCTGTAGCTGTGCACCATGGTCAGGTTCCAGACAGCAGGAAGAAGAAGGGGAAATGCTTTTAGCTTTGCACCTGCACCTCGGTAACGTTCAACCCTTCACTTCCTCATAACGTGTTCCTGCTTTTCCACCTGCCTCAAGATGAAACTCCTCTGGCTTGTAGCCAGCACCCAGCACTTGACAGAGCCTCTGTGGCCAAATGAAATGGAATTTGCCAACTACTGTACTGATGTCTCCTCTTGGGGGAAAGGAATTATATAGAGAGAGATATATCTATCTATCTGCCTGCGAAATGAGCCGTCTGACCCTCCCCTTCCAGAGCCATAGAGCTCTGGCTGCACCCAGCACCTCGAGGCACACGTGTTCTCCTCTTCTTTGGATGCTCCACTGCAGCATGTGACCAACTGCACTGGTTTGGAACTGATCCACTGAGGCCTCTGATCTGCTGTGATTTCTCTCCCTGTCTGTGTGATGAAGACAATGTTGGGCTTTAACATCCAGATTCTTTCTTCCTGCGCATCTTTGACACTTGGGTCGTAGCTTAAACTTCCTCACCTGCATCTTCTGTTCCCCGTGGGGCTCTTTCCTTCCCTGCTCCCTGCTTCTCTCCTCCCTCTCACCCCCCAGAGCTGTTTGCACTGTTTGAAGGGGGCAGCTGCCATCCAGTGCTATGCAGGAGGACAGCTGAGGCTGAGGAAGCTCCCCTTTGTCAGCGTCATTCCACAGCGGTGTAAAGTGCGTGGTAACCCCAAACCATTGGGATGAACAGAACTCGCACCCTTCAAACCTCTTCCTGGGAAGTGCAGCAGGGAGGCCCCAGATGGAAGCTGGAGGAGCCTCCCCACCATGGAGCTCTTGCTCTAGTGCCCTTTCACCCAGCTGAGCTGCTTGCACAAGCCTTGGCAGAGCCTCTTGCCTCCATCACCACGGGACTTCCTCCTCCTCGAGCTGCTGACCAACACGTGAAGGGCTCATGGTGTCACCAGCACATCCTCTTCCTGCTCCTCAGCTCTGCTGGCCCTGGTTTTGAGGGCTTGAATGTAATGAACCCAGCGGCTGGTCCCTTTGGTGCACTTAAACCAGGGTGGGGGCGTCCTGGGGTGCTTTACAGCTGCGTTCATTGAGGAGTTACAGCTCTGAGGCGTTGGCTTCTTATTGCACTTCTACTCCAAAGATGTTTGTGTGATGTTCCCCCAGAGGCCATGAAGTGCCTGCCAGAAGCTAGTTTGGAGACTGGGGAGTGTGAGGTGGAGGGAAGGGAAAGGAAAACAAGGTTAGGAATGTCACCTGGGGGGAATGGAGCTCACTGGGAGCTTCTGCAGCAAGACTCCACTCTTCAGAGATCCCATAGGATAAGCCTGAGGCTCCAGTGGTGTGTGGCTGGTTTATGGGCAGGGTGTGGGGTGGGAGGTGATGGCTTTCACGTGCTGCCCGTGGGGCAGAGCAGTGCGCTCCACACGTGGGATGCCGTGTGCTGCCGAGCTGCTCCCGCAGTGATTTTAGTGTGTGCCCTTTTCCTGCTTTGCCTTATTGGGTTTGATTGAAAACAGATCAACAAAGGGGTTCATTCTGTGTAAATCCCTTTGCTTTTTCCTTCTGGGAGCTGCCCCAGCCCAGGGAGTGTTGGGAATCCCACTGCTGTCAGCAAAGGGAGCCATTGGACCCCAACACCTCAAGCCCAGGTTGGACCAAGCACGAGGAGCTCGTGCATGAGCTGGATGAGGACCTTGGTTTGCTCAGTGCCCAGGCCAGGCTAAACCAGGGGGGTTCACCCTGGATCTCCTGTCCCCATTCCCAGGGGCTCCTGGCTCAATGGGTGCCTCTCAGTACCTCTGTTTCGGGCCAGTGTTGCTCCTTCGAGGCCGGCTGTGGGTTTGAATGAGCAAAGAGCTTGTTTCCTGCTGCACTTTGCTTTGAAGGATCTCAAGTTTTCTATTTCTTTGTACTTTTCTTCCAGTTTCCCGTGTGTTGAAGTCAATAAATGGGTTTAAAACCAAAAAATCAGCGAGTTTTCACCTCTGCTCACAGCGCTTGTGTTCTGAGCACGGGCCCCTTTGAAACCTGGCACCAACCGTGTGGGTTGGTTCCTCTTTGTGCACAAAAAGCCATCGTTTGGGCAAGCCCAGGGCTCCCTGTGGGCTCAGCCTGCCCTTGTGTGACCACCAGACCCTGGGGCCGGATGGAGCCCAGACAGCGGAGTTGCAGCGGTTCTGGTCTGCGGCCCCGTTCCTCTTGAGCGGCTCAGGATGGAGCTGGGTTATTCCTCCTCTTAAAATAGAGCTTAAGCTGCTTGTGCAGGGCTCTGCTGGGCTCCTTCCCGTTGTGTTTCCCCTTTCCCCCACAGGGAGGCTCTGAGGAGGACCCCAGCGCAACCCCGGCTCCTCTGGGAGACTAAAAGGATGGATTGCACCTTCCTGCACCCATCCAGGCCGGCCCTGGGAGCAGATGGGATGGAACAAGGGGAGGAAGAGAAGGTGGAAATGGGGAGTTCAAGTGGGAATTATTTCATCCACACATGGGGTTGTTGGGTACATGAGAGCATGGATCAAAGCACCAGCGCTGGGTGTCTTCAGGGTGATTTCATGGGATCCCAGCCTGGTTTGGGTTGAAGGGGGCTTAAAGCTCCTCCAGCTCCAACCCCTGCCACTGGAGCAGCTTGCTCCAAGCCCCTGTGTCCAACCTGGCCTTGAGCACTGCCAGGGATGGGGCAGCCACAGCTTCTCTGGGCACCCTGTGCCAGCGCCTCAGCACCCTCACAGGGAAGAGCTTCTGCCTAAGAGCTCAGCTCAGTCTCCCCTCTGCCTTCCTCACCAGGTAATTCCCATCTCCCTGAGCCAGTGCCACCCCCTGCGCACCCTGCCTGCTCCAGGGGGTGTTTCCCAGCTGGTTTTAGTGCTTCATTTACCTGTTTATGGCCTTTCTCTCATTATTCCTTCCCAAAACAGCCCGTGCTGGTGCCCCACTCCCACCCATGGGCCTCACCTGCATTCCCCCTGCCCTGAAGCCGCTGTCCCCCATCCCCGCCTGCTGCTCCCGCATCACGAGGCCCAAATCACAAGATGATGAGGATGCTTTTATTAACTCCTGCTCTCCCATCCTATCTCTGGAGAGGGCTTTGATCCTGGTCCCAAGCTTTTCCCAGGCTTGGAATCAGTGTTTGCACAGGCCATGGGGGGTGGCAACGCCATGGGGCTGCACCCCACTCCTTGGCACTGCTCCGGGAGCACCACGCACTGTTGCTCTTTAGCTTTAATCCCATCTGAAATCCGTCACACCCAGCTTTGGCATGTGAGGATTTGCTTAATCCACCACTTCGGTGAGGCAGGAGCTGGTTCCTGCCTGAAGGACCATGCCCATGAGCTCCTCCCAGAGCCTTTGGGCCCAATTTAGCATCAGAAAGGGAGGAAACATCCCCATTGATGGATGCAGGTGGAGGGTGATGCTCCCCCAGTGGTCCAGCACCTCTCGGACAGTGGTGGGGATCAAACAGCCCCTAAGCACTGGTGGAAACGGTTGGGTCTGGGATTGCCTTGACCTGTACACGGAGACCCCTGTCCCTGCACCAGGATGAGGGGTTTGACCTTGGGAGCGTGGCAGGGATCAGCACCGGAGGTGCACAAGGTCCAAAGCAAAGGGCCTGGAAACGGGACCAGTGCCCTCCCCCATGGGGCTGGCGCCAGAGAGGGAAGTGCTGCAGGTGAGAAGGAGGCAGCGGGATGGGAGGCCCCGGTCCCGGTCCCTCAGTCCCTCTTCCTGGTGCTCTTGGCCTCCGTGCGCCTCTTGAGCCGCTCCATGTCGATGTAGAGGTTGCGCCCCAGGACGGAGCTGGCGCAGATGAGGGCTCCCTGCAGGGCTCCGGCGAAGCCCTCCACGCACAGATCCTGCCCTGGAATCGTATGGGAACAGCAATGGTCCCATCTCCTCCATCCCCAGCTCATCCTCAGCGCCGCTTTAGCATCACCATCCCCAACCACCCTGCTCGCCCCCTTCCTCCTTCCCAACCACTCCCAACACCAAGCACGGTGACAGCACCCGGGAGCTGGAAGAGGCTCAGCCCTTTCCTCCTCCCATTGGGTCCATGCAACTGGGATGTGCCCTTGACTCACTGCAGGGCTGGAGGCTTCCTGCCCTCACATCCCCAGTGGGGTCCTCATGGTGCTGGGCACGGTACCTGTTAGGTAGAGGTTGGGGACAGGCGTCTGCGCCCTCACGGCTGCGATGGCTTCAGCCTGCAGCCGGGCCATGTCGTGGTTAACGCCATAGAACTCCCCTTTGGGGCTGGCGATGTAGTGCTGGTTGGTGAGGGGCGTCCCGCTGGACAGGTACTCGATCTGCAGGGGACAAAGGGACAACGCGGTCTGCAGGGACTGGGGGGTGTCCCAGCCCCAGAGAGCTGCGTTTGTGGGGTGCGGGTTGGGATGGGGTTCACTGCACACCCTACAGTGGTTCTGGCCAAGCTTGGTGCCAACAGGACCATCCTTCCCCTGCATGTGGGGATGTGTTGGTGGCACCTCGCATCCAGCTCCTACATCCACTGGATGGGGCTGGGGAAAAGAGAACCAGGAGAAGAGCTGGAGCACCCCAGAGCCCCCATTTCCTCACCCTGTCCTCGATGCGAGGGTACAGCTTGAAGACAGTCTGCATGATGGTGTCCACAAAGGCCTGCTTCAGCTCCTCGTAGTCATCGCCTCGCTTATGGACCTGCTTGTCCTGCCACTCCTCAAACCACTCGTACCTGGCGAAGGTCACGACGACCAACGTGGATTTACCTGCAGAGGGACAAGGTTGGGGTTGGTGTCCCCCTGTCCGCCCTCATGACACCATCACACCCTCCCCATGTGCCCTCTGTGGTCCCACATCCTCCACGCAGGCCCCTTGGAGACCTCTTTCCATGAGCAACCTGCTCAGCAGCCCTGCCCATGGCCAGGTGAGGAGCCATAAACCCAACCGAGTCCCCAAGTGGTTTCTAGGGAATGCATGGTTGGGTTCCAGCCCTTACCCGGGTGCCTCCTTTCCCACGTGGGGTCCTTGGTCGATGGGCAGCTCACAAACAGCACAGGGATGCTCTTGGCAGCTTCTTCCCTGGATGAGGACAGGTAGCGACTCATCCTGCAGGGAGATGCTGAGGTTGGAGGAGGGTTTGGCCCAAACCTTCCCCATAGGACTTGTTTTAACCAAACCCCCATGCAGTGAGCATCAATCAGGAGCCTTTGAAGCGTCACCACCCTGGAATTCATCTCCTTACGCTTAACAGAGCACATCCAACGTGAAGCCAAACCTACATTTCATCCAGGTCATGTCCTTGATACAGGTAGTAGTTGGTGGGCTCCAGGCCCAGCTCTTCTTTGGAGCCATTAAGACCTACAAAGATGGTGAAACCCCCTTCGCCGTGCGTCACCATGCGGAGCTGGGACTGGATCTCTGGATACAGAGGGGAGAAGGGGAAAATCAGGATTCCCAGGGATCCCCAGCAATGGAAAGGGGGTTTCTGCTAGAAGCAGCCCCATTCCTACCTCCATTGCTGCCTGTAGAACTGACTCACCTCTTGGATTCATTGAACCCAATCCTGCACGTGTTGAGTGCTTGGAGACCAACCATATGGGTGCCCACAGTGCCCCCACCCAACCATGCCCTTTCCAATGCATCACCAAGGCTTCGTGCCACCACTAAACCCAACGTTACGTGGATGTTCCACCGACTGCCCCATGGTTTGGGGTGCTCTGCTGTGCTTTATAGGGAGATGGAGCAGCAAAGCCAAGGCTTTGCTAACCATGCCCAGGTTGGGTGAGCTCCATTCGGTTCTATTCAAACCCCTGGGGTGAAATGCCCGGTTGGGGTGGTGTTTGGAGCAACAAGGTTTGAGGAGGTCTAAGGACCAATCTGAAGGATTCTGCTGTGGTTTGGAGTAGGATTAACCCCATCAGCCCAATGAAACCCAATGGTGCTGGGGTACCAGGCAATGCCCTCGCCTCCACCGGCAGGAGCCGTTCGTAGGTGTTGAAGATCCCAGCATCCGAAATGATGATGGGAGCAAAGATGTTCACCAGATCCTGACCCTTCTTAACGCTCACACCTGGAAAGGGAAGGTGGGAGAGGAAGGTATGGCTCAAAGCAACCCCACAACGGGGAGCAGCCATGGGTGCCCCATCCCATACTCACCACAGGCTTTGCCCTGGGAGTCCAGCAGGATCCTCTGCACTGGTGCCCTTCCGAACACGTTGCCTCCAGCTTTCCGGATAACGGGAATGATGTGGAAGGCGATTTCCCCAGCCCCTCCTTTGGGATACCATGCCCCACACAGGAAATGGTCCACCAGGATGCTGTGCATGGAGAAGCTTGCCTTGGAGGGCACCACTCCTGGGGAAAGGGGTGAGAAAGATCGGGTGAGTTTGTGCCAACCCATGGGGGTTTGGGGCTCATCCTAAAGGTGGGAGGATGAGGAGAAGCCTTGGGTGCTCTGCAGGGAAGGGGGGGTGTGGGAAACAGGGAGCGCGCACCCCGGTACCTACCATAGGTGGGGAAGATGTAGCTGAGGACAGCCCGGAGCTCCTGGTTGGGTGTGAGCGCATCCACCACATCCTTGAGGCTGCGTGAGGCCAAGCGGAGGAAGGGGCAGAGCCGGGGGAGCAGCCCCGAGCGGCAGAGCAGCGCCGCCAGTGCCCGCGGCAGCACCTTCAGCAGCACCAGGAGCAGGACCCCTCTGCTGACGCTCTATGGGATGGAGGAGCCTGCTCAGGGTGGGCTCAGGGGCATCTCTGCCCCTTCCAGGGGCTGCGAGGGTGCTGGGGCACAGGGTGCCCACAGGAGGTGTGGATGCCCCATCCCTGGCCAGGTTGGACACAGGGGCTTGGAGCAAGCTGCTCTATGGAAGGGGTCCCTGCCCATAGTTGGAACTGGATGAGCTTTAAGGTCCCTTCAACCCAAACCAAGCTGGGATTCCATGATTCTACCCAATTCACTGCTTGGCTGGCAGAGACAGCAGCATCCCAGGCTGCTTTGGGCACAGGGAGCTTTCAAGGCACAATTAACACTACATCAGCACTGGTTTGATAACGACTGCAATCACCCCATGGGGAAGTCCTGGAGCATCACAGTACCACAGCATCACAGTATCCCAGTATGTTAGAGATTGGAAGGGACCTCAAAAGCTCATCCAGTCCAATCCCCCTGCTGGAGCAGGAACACCTAGATAAGGTTACACAGGAACGTGTCCAGGCGGGTTCTGAATGGCTCCAGAGAAGGAGACTCCACAGCCTCCCTGGGCAGCCTGTTCCAGTGTTCCGTCACCCTCACTGAGAAGGAGTTTCTTCTCCAGTTTAAGTGGAACCTCTTGTGTTCCAGTTTGCACCCATTGCCCCTTGTCCTATCATTGTTTGCCACTGAGAAGAGCCTGGCTCCATCCTCGGGACACTCCCCCTTTATATATTGATATACACTATGGATGTATTTATATCACCCCACGGAGGTGCTGGACCTCATGGGTGTCCCCGCACACCCCATGTGCCCATGAGCATCCCCACAGAGGGGAGTTCAAACTCCAGGGTTCTGATGCAGAAAGGGGACATGGGGCCGGGCAGGGGCAGGCTGTGCCACAGCACCACATGCACTCGCCCAGTAGCTGAGTATTGGGGGGCAACCAGACCCAAAACCATGCCCTGAAGTGAAGCAAACCCCCCTTTACCTGCACCAACCGCTCGAACTCCTCAATAGCAGCCGCCTCATTGGGGAACTGCTGCTTCAAGCCTTGGAAGTAGCCCTCCCGTCCCGAATAGAGCCGATAGGTCCTGGCGCTGCCGGGCTCCCCCAGCACCACGGTGTCGAACACAGGAGGGAGCGGGACCCATTCCAGCTGCCCCTCCGTCAGCTGGTCCACCAGGAAGCGCAGGCTGGTGCCCTCCTGCATCTGCCCCACGTAGTGGATACCTGCAAGATGCAGTTCCCTTTTGTTTTATAGGGGGGTCCCTTTGTTTTCACGCCCCCAGGATGCACAAGGACCCTCCGCTTATTTTCCCACGTGGAAGAGAAAGGGAAAAGTTGCTTTAGGTCAATGGGGACAGTGCTCGATGCCATGGGTTTCAGCATCTTTTGGGAACGCTGCTCCACGGTGCTGTTCTTCCTGCCTGTGTGGCTGTAAATCATTAATCCCAATCATCAATGATGCAGAGCTGGACTTTGTCTTGCCCAAAAGGCTTTGTGAAGGGAATACGCCCTCAGGTGATATCCCCTGCCCAGAGGAGCTGTGGATGCCCCATCCCAAGGCCAGGTTGGACGCAGGGGCTTGGAGCAAGCTGCTCCAGTGGAAGGGGTCCCTGCCCATAGTTGGAGCTGGGGGAGCTTTAAGGTCCCTTCAACCCAACCCAGTCTATGGGGAATTCTGCAGAAGAGGGCTGGGTCCATGGAGTACCAGGAGCGGTTGGGGTCAGGGGTGTGAGCGGCCCTGCCTTGCCCTCTGGCAGGAGGCTTTTGGGGTGTGGAACCCACAGGATATCACGTGCTCATGCGGAAAAGCACTTGTATAACCCAGGCTGGGAGCAGGGGGGGTGCCATGGGGCGATGGATGTGATCCCTGCCATGGGGCTATGGATGTGATCCCTGCCATGGGGCGATGGATGCAATCCCTGCCATGGGGCTATGGATGCGATCCCCACCATGGGGCTATGGATGCAATCCCTGCCATGGGGCTATGGATGCGATCGCCACCACGGGGCTATGGATGCGATCCCCACCAGGGGGCCATGGACGCGATCCCCACCAGGGGGCCATGGACGCGATCCCCACCAGGGGGCCATGGATGCGATCCCCACCAGGGGGCCATGGATGCGATCCCCACCACGGGGCTATGGATGCAATCCCCACCACGGGGCTATGGATGCGATCCCCACCAGGGGGCTATGGATGCGATCCCCACCATGGGGCTATGGATGCGATCCCCACCAGGGGGCTATGGATGCGATCCCCACCATGGGGCTATGGATGCGATCCCCACCATGGGGCTATGGATGCGATCCCCACCATGGGGCTATGGATGCGATCGCCCACGGGGTATGGAGCAATCCCCACACGGGGCTATGGATGCGATCCCCACCACGGGGCCATGGATGCGATCCCCACCAGGGGGCCATGGATGCGATCCCCACCAGGGGGCCATGGATGCGATCCCCACCAGGGGGCCATGGATGCGATCCCCACCAGGGGGCTATGGATGTGATCCCTGCCATGGGGCTATGGATGCGATCCCCACCAGGGGGCCATGGATGCGATCCCCACCAGGGGGCCATGGACGCGATCCCCACCAGGGGGCCATGGATGCGATCCCCACCAGGGGGCCATGGATGCGATCCCCACCAGGGGGCCATGGATGCGATCCCCACCAGGGGGCCATGGATGCGATCCCCACCAGGGGGCCATGGATGCGATCCCCATCACAGGGCTATGGATGCGATCCCCACCAGGGGGCTATGGATCCGATCCCCACCAGGGGCCCGTACCGGTGTCGAACTCGAAGCCCTTCTCAGTGAAGGTGTGGCAGCAGCCCCCCAGCTTCCCGTGCTGCTCCAGCACCAGCACCCGCCTGCCCGCCTTGGCCAGCAGTGCCGCGGCTCCCAAGCCCCCGATGCCGCTGCCCACCACGATGGCATCGAGCCGCTCCGGCACCTTGTCTGCAGAGAAAACTGGGGGGGCACAGGACACAACACACACACGGGGGGGGCATCTTCAGTGGTGGGATGCGGCACCCCCCCCCCAGGGCATGGGCATGGTACCCAGGGCTGACCTCCGAATGTGTGCTCGGGGGGGATGGAACCGGTGTGGGTAATGCCCCACTGTGCTGGGGGTGATGCTGGTCCAGGGGGTGATGCTGTGCTGGGAGGTGGAGGGGGGAGGACCCGGTGGAGCTGGGATGGGGGGGACCCATAAGGGATTGGGGGTCCCACTGGGGAATGAGGGGTTGGACTAAGGGAGGGGGGGCTCCTACCAGGGGATACAGGGTCCAACTGGGGTGTTAGGGATGTCCCATTGGGCACTGAGGGATCCCACCATGGTCTGGGGTTGGGTCTCACTGGGGATTAGGGGTCCCACTGGGAGATGGTGAGATCCCACCAGGGTATTGGGGGTCCCACTGGGGATCTGGGGGTCCAACCGGGGATTGGGAGGTCCCACAGGGTGATCGGAGGTCCTATGGGGGGGTCTCACTGGGGAATTGGGGTCTCACTGAGGTATTTGGGGGGGTCCCACTGGGGATCTGGGGGTCCAACCGGGGATTGGGAGGTCCCACAGGGTGATTGGAGGTCCTATGGGGGGGTCTCACTGGGGAATTGGGGTTCCACTGAGGTATTTGGGGGGTCCCACTGGGCATTTGGGGGTCCAACTGGGGATTGGGAGGTCCCACAAGGTGATCGGAGGTCCTATGGGGGGGTCTCACTGGGGAATTGGGGTTCCACTGAGGTATTTGGGGGGTCCCACTGGGGATCTGGGGGTCCAACCGGGGATTGGGAGGTCCCACAGCGTGATCAGAGGTCCTATGGGGGGGTCTCACTGGGGAATTGGGGTTCCACTGAGGTATTTGGGGGGTCACGCTGGGGTTTGGGGAGTCCCATTGGGGTACTGGGGGAAGGACCCAATGGAGGATGAAAGGGTCCTACCGGGGTTTGGAGGGTCCCACTGGGAGACTGGGGGGTTGTACTGAGGGATGGAGGCTACCAGGGGGGACATAGGGTCCAACGGGGGTATTAGGGAGGTCCCACTGGGCACTGGGGGTTCCCACAGCGGACTGGAGGATGTTGAGGTCCCACCAGGAACTGGGAGGTCCCATCGGAGATTGCGGGTCCCGCAGGGAGATGGGAGGTCCTATGGGGGGATGCCCACTGGGGAACGGAGGGTCCCATTGGGGTACTGGAGGGGTCTCATTGGGGTGTTCGGGGGTCCCACTGGAGGATGAAGGGGTCCGGGTCATTGGAGGGCTCCCACGGGGGTACTGGAGGTGCTGGGAGGGGGGGGGTCCCGTACCTGTCTTAACGACCGCCCTGCGGACCGCCTTGTCGGTGACGAGCGGGGCTGGCGGGCGCCGGGCATCGGCAGCGAAGGGGCTGGGGCTGCCGGCGGAGCGCAGCAGGAGCCAGGCGAGGGAAAGGAGGGGAAGGAGGATGAGGGAAGCGAGGCAGAGCAGCGCGTACAGCCCCATGGCACCGGGACCTTCTGCTGCCGAGCGCCGGAACCCAGCTCCGCCCTCGGGGGAATGGGCGGGAGGCACCGCACCGCTGGGCGCTGGCACCGAGCCCCGGGACCTGCCATCGAGCCGCGGGGGAGCGCTCGCTTTCCGCGCGGTTTGACCCTCCGGGGCCGCCGTCCCCTCCCCGCGAGGTGCCTGCTGGGAGTTGTAGTCCTGCGGGTGACCCTGGGGATAGGACAGCCTACAGCTCCCAGCATGCACTGCGCGGCGGCGGAGCCGGGCCTGGGCTCTCCGCGGTTCCGCCGCTGCGGGGCCGGGCCCGTTCCGGTTCCCTCTCCCCGCAGGGCATGAGCGGAGGCGCCGGGGGCTCGGAGCGGCCCGAGGAGCTGCAGCGGTTCCCCCCACCCGGCAAGTCCCTCCCCGTGCGTGTCCCCCGGCCCCGGCGGGGAGCGCTCGCGTTGCGGGGCCCGCTCCGGTGGGTGACGCCTGTCCCCGTGTCCCCCGCAGCTCTCGGCTCTGCGGCAGAACGGGCTCCTGCAGGCGCTGGTGCAGGGAGCGGAGCCGCCCGCGGGTGATGGTGAGTGAGTGCGAGCTCCGGTCCCGGGGGAGCAGAGCCCCAGGAGCCCTGCATGGATCGCGTTGGCTCTGCCCCGGAACCTTGGGTGCTTTGGGATGGAGGGAGCTTAAAGCTCCTCCAGTTCCAACCCGCTGCCACAGGCACCGTCCCACCAAACCCGTCCCTGTGGCAAGTGCTTGCATCCCAAACCGTTCCATAGGGAAACCTCGCGGCTCCTCAGCCGGGGTTTATCCCTAGAGAACGGGAATCCTGCCCTGAGCAGCCCTGGGAGAAGGGAGCAAATCCCCCCCCTTCCCTCCATGGGTCTCTGATGCCTCCTCTCTTCGTTCATTAGAGATCAGTGAGGAGCTGCAGCGAGCGCGGGAGGAATGGGAGGCTGTGGAGGAGATCCAGTCAGGTACAGCTGGCAATGGGATAAGGGGTGAATGGGGAAGGCTGGGAGGGGAGAGTTGGGGAGCTTGGGAAAGAGCCCAGCGGGAAGGGGAGGGAGGATCCCCAGGTCCTCACCCTCCTGCTGGGAGCAAGCTCTTGGCTGGGAATCATGGTTGGAAAAGAGCTTCAGGATCACCCGGTCCAACCCTTACACCAGCACTGCCAAGGCCACCCCATGGCACTGAGGGGGTGTGAGCACCTGCAGGGACCCTGCCAATGCCTGAGCACCCTCTGGGGCAGGAATTGTTCCTCAGCTCCATCTAAACCTGCCCTGGTGCAGCTTGAGGCCGGTTCCTCTTGTCCCATCCCTTGTTCCTTGGGAGCAGAGCCCAGCTCCATCCTCCTGTCAGGCAGTTGGAGGCAGCCATCAGGTCCCCCCTGAGCCTTCCCTTCTCCATCTGAACCCCCCCAGGTCCCTCAGCTCTGTGCTGGGATGGAGGAGCTGGGGGGGTGGGGGGGGTGACCCCATTCTCTGCCCCCCACAGGGCTCGGGGGGACACCGGCGGTGCCCACAGCCCCCATCTCCTTCCGGGAAGCGCTGCGGTTCTTCGAGACCTCCGAGCTGGGCGAGTGCAGGGTAGGGGCAGGGCCCCACCATGGGGGGAGCTTTAGTAAGTAGGAGAGGGGAGAGGCAGCTCCCTCCTTCCCTTTGCCCTTCTCTCATCCCCATTCCCCATCCCTCATCCATCCCCGTTCTCTCCCTACAGAGGAACCTGCGCCCACCCCGGCGCAGGCAGGGCCTGGCCGCTCTGCTCCGCTTCCTCTTCGGGCCCCCCCGGCTCCAGCCGCAGCTGCGGGGGGAGCAGGAGCTGGCCCTGGCCATGGCCCAGTGTGAGTGGCTCCGGGGGACGTGGTCCTGCTCTTCCCTTCTCCATCCCCTTCTCTTTGCACCAGCACCAGTGCTTGGCTGCGGCATCCGTGGCCAGCCAGGCTGGGGGGGTTGGTTCCGTCTCCACCGTGGCTCTGTGTGGGTGCCAAGGGGCAGGTTTTGGGTGCTGAGAAGTGGGTTGAGGTGCCAAGGATTGGGGATTGGGTGCTGGGAGGTGGGTTTGGGTGCCAAGGGACAGGTTTCAGGGGCTAGAACTGGGTTTGGGTGCCAAGGAGTGGGTTTTGGATGGCGAGGGATGGGGTTTGGGTGCCAAGGGGTGGTCTTTTTGAATGCTGACAGGTGGTTTTGGGTGCCAGGGGGTGGGGTTTTGGTCCTGAGGGGTGGGTTTGGGGTGCCAAGGGGCAGGTTTTTGGGTGCTGAGGGCTGGGTTTTGGGTGCCAAGGGGCAGGGTTTTGGGTGCTGAGGGGCAGGGTTTGGGTGCCAAGAGGTGGTTTTGAGTGCCATGGGGCAGGTTTTTGGGTGCTGAGGGGCAGGTTTTGGGTGCCAAGAGGTGGTTTTGGGTGCCAAGGGGCAGGTTTTGGGTGCCAAGAGGTGGTTTTGAGTGCCAAGGGGCAGGTAGGGGCAGGGTTTGGGTGCCAGGAGGTGGTTTTGAGTGCCAAGGGGCAGGTTTTTGGGTGCCAAGGGGCAGGGTTTTGGGTGCCAAGGGGCAGGTTTTGGGTGCCAAGAGGTGGTTTTGGGTGCCAAGGGGCAGGTTTTTGGGTGCTGAGGGGCAGGGTTTGGGTGCCAAGAGGTGGTTTTGGGTGCTGAGGGGCAGGGTTTGGGTGCCAAGAGGTGGTTTTGAGTGCCATGGGGCAGGTTTTTGGGTGCTGAGGGGCACGTTTTGGGTACCAGGAGGTGGGTTTGGGTGCCAAGGGGCAGGTTTTTGGGTGCTGAGGGGCTGGGTTTGGGTGCCAAGGGGCAGGTTTTTGGGTGCCGAGGGGCAGGTTTTGGGTGCTGAGGGGCAGGTTTTTGGGTGCTGAGGGGCAGGTTTTGGGTGCCAAGAGGTGGTTTTGGGTGCCAAGAGGTGGTTTTGGGTGCCAAGGGGCAGGTTTTTGGGTGCCATGGGGCAGGTTTTGGGTGCCAAGAGGTGGTTTTGAGTACCAAGGGGCAGGTTTTTGGGTGCCGAGGGGCAGGGTTTGGGTGCCAAGAGATGTTTTTGGGTGCTGAGGGGTGTTTTCTCTCCACCAGGTGCCTTGGATGACAACGAGAGCGTGCACATGAGGATCCTGCAGACCATCTACAGGAAACTCACCCGCTCCCACCTGGGCTGCCCACGCTATGGAGCGCACTGGGAAGAGCTTGGGTTTCAAGGTAGGGCAGAGGGAGAGACCTCAGGAGCTCCCTGTGCTGGGAGGGATCACACTGGTCCCATTCCCTCCTTCACAGGTGGGGTGCAGACACAGGGTAAAGGGTTTGCTGCTTGCTCTCCTTTGTTCCCAGCTGCTTCCCAGGGTGATTTCATGGGATCCCAGCCTGGGTTGGGTTGGAAGGGACCTTAAAGCTCCTCCAGCTCCAACCCCTTCCACTGGAGCAGCTTGCTCCAAGCCCCTGTGTCCAACCTGGCCTTGAGCACTGCCAGGGATGGGGCAGCCACAGCTTCTCTGGGCACCCTGTGCCAGCGCCTCAGCACCCTCACAGGGAAGAGCTTCTGCCTAAGAGCTCAGCTCAGTCTCCCCTCGGGCAGGTTCAAGCCATTCCCCTTGGCCTGTCCCTACAGGCCCTTGTCCCAAGCCCCTCTCCAGGTTCCCTGCAGCCCCTTTAGGCACTGGAGCTGCTCTAAGGTCTCCCCTTCTCTTCTCCAGGCTGAACCCCCCAGCTCCCTCAGCTGTTCCTCAGCACATTTGTGCTCCAGGCCCTTCACCAGCTCCATGGTGTCCTTAATGCTCTTCATTAGGGCTAATGAGCCGTGGCCCATTCCCTGGCCCAGGCCAGGGCTCTGTCACTGAGGTGGCCTCAGCTGGGGAAGGAAAACAATGTCATTAAGAGACCCAGGGTTATTAAAGGTGTCACAGCCTCGCCTGCACCTTCTGCTTGACTCCATAGACAAAGCCTAAACCCAGCAGCTCCTGTAGCCCCACAGCTGGCTTTAGGTGATGCTTCACATCCTTTGGGGCAGATCGAGCTTAATTCCTGGAGCAGGGTTGGGAATGGGCCCATGGGTGAGGGAACAACAGGGAGGAGGTAACAGGGAGGAAACCCCTTCCAAAACCTGCCCTAAGGATGCAGTTCCTGAAGGGATTTGCCAGGGTTTGAGTGGTGTCAAAGCCCATGGGAGCAGGTTGTGACTCCAGGTTCATCCCACCCTTCCAGGCACAGACCCCGGGACAGACCTGCGAGGCACAGGGATGCTGGCCTTGATGCAGCTGCTCTTCTTCGTCATGGACCCTCAGATGCTGCCTCTGGCTCTGGACATCTTCAAACTGTCCCAGCACGAAACCCAGGCAGGTCCTCCCGTGGTGGTACCTCCCTTAACAATTCCCAATGCTCCAAGAGTTGGGAATCACAAAGATCCAAGTGAAAAATGGGAGTGAGTGGAGCCTGTCTCCTTAAACGTGTCTTAGGGATAGCCTGGATCTTGTCCTACAGCATCCATCGGGGCTGTATCCTCAGGGCCGTTATCCTGCCCCATGGATTTCTCTCCTGCAGGCAGCATCCCATGGGTTTCACAGTACCCCAGTATGTTAGAGATTGGAAGGGACCTCAAAAGCTCATCCAGTCCAATCCCCCTGCCGGAGCAGGAACACCTGGATAAGGTTACACAGGAACGTGTCCAGGCGGGTTTGGAATGGCTCCAGAGAAGGAGACTCCACAGCCTCCCTGGGCAGCCTGTTCCAGTGTTCCGTCACCCTCACTGAGAAGAAGTTTCTTCTCCAGTTTAAGTGGAACCTCTTGTGTTCCAGTTTGCACCCATTGCCCCTTGTCCTATCATTGTTTGCCACTGAGAAGAGCCTGGCTCCATCCTCGTGACACTCCCCCTTTATATATTGATATACACTAATAAGGTCACCCCTCAATCTCCTCTTCTCCAAACTATAGAGACCCAGCTCCCTCAGTCTTTCCTCATAAGGGAGATGCTCCACTCCCTTCATCATCTCAGTTGCCCTGCGCTGGACTCTCTCCAGCAGGTCCCTGTCCTCCTTAAACTGAGGGGCCCAGAACTGGACACAATATTCCAGATGGGGTCTCACCAGGGCAGAGTAGAGGGGAAGGAGAACCTCTCTCGACCTACTAACCACCCCCTTCTAATACACCCCAGGATGCCATTGGCCTTCTTGGCCACAAGGGCACATTGCTGGCTCATGGTCACCTGGTTTGGGGCGGTGTGGAAGGGCTGGAGGTTGTGTGGACCCCTCAGCGAGCTGGGATTCCCATAACACTCCCTTCTCCTGCAGGAATTCCCCTTTGGCATCATGTCCGTGAACATCACCCGCATCGTCCTGCAGGCCCTGCGGGAGGAGCGGCTCTCCCGGTGCGTTCCAGCCGTTCCATAGCCACACCAGCAAGGGATTTGGGGATCTGGAGCTGCTTCCCGATGCTCCAGACCCTAACTCAGCCCCTCTGCACCTCTTGCAGGGAGTGCAACCGCCGGCAGCAGGTCATTGCTGTGCTCAACGACCTCTATGCAGCCGCCTTCCTGCGGCTCTACTGCGTCTGGAAGGGGCAGCACAAGACCATCGCCGACTCCTGCTTCCTCCTGAAGGGTTTGTGTCCTGGATATTCCTCCTCCTTTCCCAAGGGAAGCAACCCAAGGCTGAAACCAGCATGGTCTTAGTGTCCTGCTTCTAACCCCCAACCACTCCTTGTTTCATCTTCACCCCGGGTTTCCCTTATGGGGGGACCTTGGGATGGTGCTGAGCTCGGCTGGGCTTTGGTGAGGAAAACGGGGTGGCCTTTCCCAAGGGGATCTGTAGGGACAGCAGCTTTAGAGCATCCCTGACCCCATCCCCGCTCTCCATCCTCACACGTTGCCCTCCTCAGAGCTGGAGTTATCCACCAAAAGGAAGCCGAAGCAGCTCCTGAAGTCCCTGGAAGCCTTCGTGAACCGTGGCCCCACAGCCGAGGGTCCTGACCCCGCATCCCCTCCATCCCCATCCAGCCGGGAGCTCAGCTTCACCGGTGTGTGTGACCTGGAGGGTGAGCCCCGGCTCGGCTGAAACACCAGGAGAGGATCCATAGGGAGAGCCTGGACCGGTTATGGGGCTTGCTGGTGGGCACAGGGCGAGGAGAGCGGTCCCTGGCAGAGCCAGGAGCTTGGAACGCCACCATGGGGAGAGATCCCATGGCACAACCCCCCTGAACCAATCCATCCACGCTGGAATCTGTGGATGTGAAGGAGGAAAACGTGGATGCGAGGGTGCATTTATCACCCATGGGGCTGGGATAGTTCATGTGTGCGTCCCACATCACATCCGTACCCCCAGTTCAGCAATGCTGGAGCATGGGGATGCTGTTCCCAAGTCCAGCCCTGACTCCAGCAGCACCACTGGGTGTTAACAGCTGGGTGCTGGGGACAGCTTGTCCTCTGCACGCTGGAGTCCCTGGGCTGTCCCTGTGTGTGTTGGCACTGACAGAAGTGATTAAAAGGAGGAAGAACAGACTCGAATCTGATGCTTTGGATGGGAAAGAGCCTTTGGGACTCGGAGCTGTTTCTGGGCCTGTGGCTGGAGCGTGGGGAAGGGCAGAGGGGGGTTTGCTGGGGTCAGATGCGGGGCTCCAAAGGGCCTAAGAAGGGAGGAAGAAGCCCAAACTGGGAGGTAAAAGGTGCTGGGGGGGACCCGGGGATGTGGGGCCGGGGGGGGGGGAGCGGAGCCCAGTGCGGCCCCACCGGGTCCCCCCCCTCCCGGTTCCGCCCCAGGGGCGGTGGCTGCTTCATCCCCCCCCCCTTCCCATCCGCGTCCGCTTCAAACCCCGCGGAGGAGGCGCTCGGCAGCGCAGAGCCCGCGGCAGCGGCATCGATCCCAGCACCGGGAACCGGGAACGGCACCGGCACCGGTACCGGTACCCGCAGGGACGGGCAGCGGCACTGACAACAGCGGCAAGAGGTGGGGTGCGGGCAGGGTAACGGGGGTGCAGACAGAGAAAGCGGGGTGCGGGCAGGGCAGGGGGGAGCCAGCAGGGTAAAGGGGGTGAGGGCAGAGTAAGGGGGTGCAGGCAGGGTAAAGGGGGTGCAGGCAGGGTAAAGAGGGTGCCCAGGGCGGGGGAGCGGCAGGGTAAAGGGGTGCAGGCAGAGTAAGGGGGTGCAGGCAGGGTAAAGGGGTGCAGGCAGGGTAAGAGGGTGCAGGCAGAGAAAAGGGGTGCAGGCAGGGTAAAGGGGGTGCAGGCAGGGTAAAGGGGGTGCAGGCAGGGCAGGGGGTGCAGGCAGGGTAAAGGGGTGCAGGCAGGGTAAAGGGGTGCAGGCAGGGTAAGGGGGTGCAGGCAAGGTAAGGGGGTGCAGGCAGGGTAAGGGGGTGCAGGCAGGGTAAAGGGGTGCAGGCAGGGCAGGGCAGTCAGTAAGGGGGTGCAGGCAGGGAAAGGTGGTAAAAGGGGTGTGGGCAGAGTAAGGGGGTGCAGGCAGGGTAAGGGGGTGCAGGCAGGGTAAAGGGGGTGCAGGCAGGGTAAGGGGGGTGCAGGCAGGGCAGGGGGTGCAGGCAGGGTAAAGGGGGTGCAGGCAGGGTAAGGGGGGTGCAGGCAGGGTAAGGAGGGTGCAGGCAGAGTAAAGGGGGTGCAGGCAAGAAGGGGGGTGCAGGCAGGGTAAGGAGGGTGCAGGCAGAGAAAAGGGGTGCAGGCAAGGTAAAGGGGTGCAGGCAGGGAAAGGGGCTGCAAGCAGCGCAGACAGCCCATCAGGCAGCATGGCAAGGGACACCAGTATCCCCCAGCACCCCGTGTCCTGGCCCCCCCGCACCCCACGGCACCGCTGAGCACAGCATCCGCATCCATCCCCATGGACACAGGCTCTGGGAGCACGGGGAGCCCCCCGGGGGGGTACTCGATCCAAGCCACCGCCGCCATCGCCGCCGCCATCACCTTCCTGGTGCTCTTCACCATCGCAGGCAACGCACTGGTGATCATGGCCGTGCTGAGCAGCCGCTCGCTGCAGGCACCCCAAAACCTCTTCTTGGTGTCCCTGGCGGCCGCCGACATCCTGGTGGCCACCCTCATCATCCCCTTCTCCTTGGCCAACGAGCTCTTGGGCTACTGGTACTTCCAGAGGACGTGGTGCGAGATCTACCTTGCCCTGGACGTCCTCTTCTGCACCTCATCCATCGTTCACCTCTGCGCCATCAGCCTGGACCGCTACTGGGCCGTGAGCCGGGCCGTGGAGTACAGCGCCAAGCGCACGCCGCGGCGCATCAAATGCGCCATCCTCACCGTGTGGAGCATCGCCGCCGCCATCTCCCTGCCGCCGCTCGTCTACAAGGGCGAGAAGAAGGCGGCGGTGGTGGTGGTGGGCGAGCGGCCGCAGTGCAAGCTCAATGAGGAGGCTTGGTACATCCTCTCCTCCAGCATCGCCTCCTTCTTCGCCCCGTGCCTCATCATGATCCTCGTCTACCTGCGCATCTACCTGATCGCCCGGCGCCGTCACCGCGCCCGCGTCACCAAACCGCCGCCGGTGCCACCAAGCATCCCCGCGGCGCCCACCGCGGTACCACCACCACCACCGGTGGACAGGACCTCACTGCTGAGCCTTAAGGAGCCACCCGCATCCCCCAGTGGTGGGGCTGGGACATCCCCACCGCCCATTGGACCACGCAGGGACACGGTGGCCACCGGGACGGGGCGGGTGATGCTGGTGCCGCGCGCACCGGTGTTGACCCCATGGAGGAGGAAGGCTCAAGTGAACCGGGAGAAGCGTTTCACCTTCATCCTGGCCGTGGTCATCGGCGTCTTCGTGCTCTGTTGGTTCCCCTTCTTCTTCCTCTACAGCCTGGGCGCGCTCTGCCCCCGGCGCTGCAAGGTCCCCGATGGCATCTTCCGGTTCTTCTTCTGGATCGGGTACTGCAACAGCTCCCTCAACCCCGTCATCTACACCGCGTTCAACCAGGACTTCCGCAAGGCCTTCCGGCGCCTGCTGTGCCGCTGCCGCGCCACGACGCCATGGTGAGGGGCTCCCGCATCATCACCCCCCCCTTCTTCTTCCTCCTCATCCTCCTGCCTGTGTTCAGTGTTGGGTTGAGCTTTGAAGCCCCCCAAAGTGATGATACCCCCCCCGCCGTCTCCATCACTGCTTGTTGCCTGGTTTCCATGGGGACCACGCACAGGGAATGGGGGGATTCATCCCAAGAGACCCCCCCCCCCCCCAAAAAACCCATTTTATTTAACAATAAAAACTATTTTGGAATAGGAAAACCATTCCTTTGTTATCAAAGGCAGGGTGGGGGGGTGAGCGTGTCGTGTGTGCCCCCCCCATCCCCATCCCTTGGGGATAGGAGCAGGAACACGATGTCTGGGGTGGGGGGGGGGGTTATTTATGGCAGCACCATAAATTATAGAAGGAAGAAATAATAATGATAATAATGAATTAAACACAAGTGAGGAACCAGCTGCTGGCCCTGAGGGCGTTCAACCCCCCCCTCCGGGGCCCGGTGGGGATTCGCGGGAGGCTCGTATAGGGGTTGTGCTGCCCGCCTTGGGGCTGCGTTTCAAGAGGGTTTGTGGGTTGTGACCCACAATTGGGTTGGGGTAGCCCATAGCAGTGTGGTGACCACCACTGTACTGTGACCCACACCACTGTATCGTGACCCACACCACCGTATCATGACCCACACCACCGTATTGTGACCCACACCACCATATCGTGACCCACACCACCGTATCGTGACCCACACCACCGTATCGTGACCCACACCACCGTATCGTGACCCACACCACCGTATCGTGACCCACACCACTGCATCGCAACCCACACTGGTATAGTGAGCTGCATGACAGTGACCTACACCACCATATCATGCATGACCCACATCACCATATCGTGACTCACATCACCGTATCGTGACCCACACCACCACATCATGACCCACATCACCATATCGTGACCCACACCACCCCATCATAACCCACATCACCATATCGTGACCCACACTACCATATCATGACTCACATCACCATATCGTGACCCACACCACCCCATCATGACCCACATCACCACATCATGACCCACATCACCATATCGTGACCCACATCACCACATCATGACCCACATCACCATATCGTGACCCACACCACCACATCATGACCCACACCACCCCATCATGACCCACATCACCATATCGTGACCCACATCACCATATCGTGACCCATACCACCACATCATGACCCACATATCATGACCCACACCACCACATCATGACCCACACCACCACATCATGACCCACACCACCACATCATGACCCACATCACCACATCATGACCCACACCACCATATCATGACTCACATCACCATATCGTGACCCACACCATCCCATCATAACCCACATCACCATATCACGACCCACATCACCATATCATGACTCACATCACCATATCATAACCCACATCACCATATCGTGACTCACACTACCATATCATGACTCACATCACCATATCGTGACCCACACCACATCACGACCCACATCACCACATCACGACCCACAGCAGGGAACAGCAACCCACACTTGCAGTGGCATCGTCGTGACCCACAGAAGGCGATCACGCCCCCCCCGGCTGTGTCGTGACTGGTGCCGGTGCATCCCCCCTCACACTGATGCACCGTGACTCACCCTGGCACATGGTGACCCCATTGAGGTACCCCCACCCCAGCGCCCCCTTCCCATGGGATGCGGCCCCATCTCCCCCCCTCCATCCCAACGGAGCTTTGGGAATCCCATTCCCGGCCTGGCTGCGCTCCCATCCCGGCGCCCTGGGACGATGCTCGGGGTGGGAGAGGTCGTGTGAACGGGGCCGGAGCCATGGGGCCGCGCACGCCGCCAGCACCGCGTCCCATTGCGGCTCCTCTGCCCCATAGCTGCGCCCCACAGCGTGAGGGGGGGTCCATAGGGATGTGAATGGCCCCATAGAGGGGGCACACAGCCAGCACCACCCCAAAACCCCCCCAAACCATCCCGGTGGTTGCCATGGTGATGCCTTCATTGCCAGCATCCCCCCGCTCGTAGCAACAGAACCGGGTTCGCAGGAGGGAAAAAAACCTTGGAAATTCCAGGATTTTGGCTTAAAAATCCCTTAAAATGGGTTAAATTGGGTTAAACTGGGCTCCAATGAGGGTTTCTGCCCATTGCAGGGGGCCTGGCTGCTGTGGGAGCTGTGATGAGCCCTGGCCAGGCCTCAGCCTGCTGCAGTCAGAACTTGCAATTAACACACAGCAATAAAGGGGTTTCTTCCTCTGATCCCATTTTCTGGGATTTTCTCTTTTTTCCCCTTTTTTCCCTTGTCTTTTCCCTCTTTTTGAACTGAAATTGTCTTTTTTCTTGCTTTTTTTCCCCCTCTTTTCCTTTGTATTTTCGTTTTCCTCCCTTTTATTTGTATTTGCTTCTCCCCCTCATTCTTAGTTCTCCTCTTTTCCTGGACTTTTTCCTTATATTTTCTTCTTTTCTCCTTTTTTCACTGTCTTTTTACCCCCTTTTTATTCCATTCCTCCCCTTTATTTTTCCCTTTTCCTTGCCTGTTCCCTTCCCCCTCTCCATTTTTATATTTTATTTTCCTTTTTTTCTCCTTTTTCGTTCACTTTTTTTTCTCCTTTTTTTCTTGTATTTTGCCTTTTTTTCTCTTTCCCCCTTTTTTCTTATATTTTCTGTTTCCCTTTTTTATCATCTTTCTTCATTTTTATCTTTCTCCTTTTTCTTATTTTTCCTTCTTCCCCCCCTTTATTGTATTCCCCCCATATTTTCATCTTATTTTTCCCTTTTTCTTTGTATTTTCCTTTTCCCCCTTTTTCTTATTTCTCCTTTTTTGCCTTATTTTTCCTTTTTTTCTTGCGTTTTTTATTTCCTTTTTTCTTGTCTTTTTTCCTTTTTTTTGCCTTATTTTTCTTTTTTCCTATTTTTCCTTTTTTGTCTTAATTTCCACTCTTCCATCTTTTTTTTAAATCTTTTTTCTTGCCTTTTGTTCTTATTTTTCCTTTTTTGTCTTTTTTTTAATCTTTTTTTTCCTTTTTTCTTGCCTTTTTTCTGCATTTTTGTTTTATTTTCCCTTTTCCCATCTTTTTTTATTTTTTAATCTTTTTTCTTTTTAAATCTTTTTTCTTTCCTTTTTTAATCTTTTCTTATTTTTTTCCCTTTTTTCTTGCCTTTTCTTTTTTCTTATTTTTCACTTTTTCTTGTCTTATTTTCCCTTTTCCCGTCTTTTTTTTCTTTTTTAATCTTTTTTTCTTTTTTCTTTTTTTTTCCTTTTATAATCTTTTTTTCCCTTTTTTAATCTATTTTTTTCACTTGTTGAATCTTTTTTTCTCCTTTTTTCTTCCCGTTCCCTCCCTTCCCATTTCTCTTCTCCCATTCCCCCTTTCCCCTCCCACCCCCCCGTTTCTCCCCCTTTCCCCATCCCTTTCCCACCTCCGTTCCTTTCCTCCCGTTCTCGCCCCCTCTTTCCCCAGGGACCCCCCGGGCCCGCCCCGCTCCGAGCCGCGCCTCAGCCCCCGCCGCGGGGCCGCTTCGGGCTCGTTCCCCCCCTCCGGCTCCTTCCGTGGGGGGGGGCCGGGGCCGGGGTCGCGGCCGGGGTCGGGGTCGGGGCCGCCCCTCAGGGCCGGGCTCCTCGGGGGCGGAGCGGGAGGCCTCGGCCGGGCCTGCGGCGGTGAGCGCGGGGGAGCGGGCCCGGGGTGGGCGCGGGCCTCGACCGGGGCCTTGGGGGGGGTGCGGGGCTCGTGTGGGGCCCGTACCCCCTCCCCCGGGTGCTATAGGGGCTGTGGGGCCGTCACCTCCGCCTCAGGCCCTATAGGGGCTGTGCGATGCCTTCACTCCCCACCACGGCCCCTGTGGGGCGTGCAGGGCCCATGTGGGCTGTGGAAGACCCCTCCGAAGGCCCTATGGGATGTGTGGGGCCCATGAGGGAGGCGCTGCCTCCCTCCCACAAGGCCCTGTAGGGAATGTGGGGCCCATGTGGAGCCCATAACCCCCCTCCAAGGCCCTATAGGGAATGCGGGGTCCATCTGGGGCCCATAACCCCTCCAAGGCCCTATAGGGAATGCAGGGTCCATCTGGGGCCCATAACCCCCCCAAGGCCCTATAGGGAATGCAGGGTCCATCTGGGGCCCATAACCCCCCTCCAAGGCCCTATAGGGAATGCAGGGTCCATCTGGGGCCCATAACCCCCCTCCAAGGCCCTATAGGGAATGCAGGGTCCATCTGGGGCCCATAACCCCCCTCCAAGGCCCTATAGGGAATGCAGGGTCCATCTGGGGCCCATAACCCCCCTCCACGGCCCTATAGGGAATGCCGGGTCCATCTGGGGCCCATAACCCCCCCAAGGCCCTATAGGGAATGTAGGGTCCATGTGGAGCCCATAACCCCCCCCCAAGGCCCTATAGGGAATGCAGGGTCCATGTGGAGCCCATAACCCCCCCCAAGGCCCTGTAGCGAATGCGGGGTCCATCTGGAGCCCATAACTCCCCCAAGGCCCTATAGGGAATGCGGGGCCCATGTGGGGCCCATAACCCCCCCCAAGGCCCTATAGGGAATGTGGGGTCCATCTGGGGCCCATAACCCCCCCAAGGCCCTATAGGGAATGCAGGGTCCATCTGGGGCCCATAACCCCCCCAAGGCCCTATAGGGAATGCAGGGTCCATCTGGGGCCCATAACCCCCCCCAAGGCCCTATAGGGAATGCAGGGTCCATCTGGGGCCCATAACCCCCCCAAGGCCCTATAGGGAATGCAGGGTCCATCTGGGGCCCATAACCCCCCCCCAAGGCCCTATAGGTGTGCTGCTCCCCCCCATCCACATCCTATGGGGCTGTGTGGGGCCCATAACCCCCTCTAAGGCTCTATAGGGGCTGTGGTGGGTGTTACCCTATAGTGTGTGTGGGGTGTGTTGCCCTCCCCAAGGCTCTGTAAAGGGTGTTAGGAGTTGTGTTCCCCCCCTACCCAACACCCTATAGGGAACATTGGGTCCCACGTGGACTCCCCTCCAGTCCCTATGGGGAGTTGGGGCCACTATGGGGTGCGTTACCCACCCCACAAGTCCCTGTAGGATATGGGTCTAAACCTTCCCAACGGACCCCTTCTGCCTATTCCCATCTCCTGTTTTCCAGGATCCTGGAGCATCCCAGCCCTGTGTCTCCACCAGGACAACCCCATCCTGAGGTAGGACCCCTTGGGGACAAGGGGGTGACCCCGCTCCCCCCACACCCCCAGCACCCCACAGGTCACATCCTGCCTCACCCCATTGCCCCATGGCTCTGATCCTGGGGTAATGGGATGGGGATGAGGGGCCTGCAGTGTCCCTATGTCCCCCCCATCACTGACCCCATTGCTCTGTGTCCCCACAGCTTCACCCTGCTCCAAGGGCTCATCCCTGCTGCTGGAGCCTTCCCAAGCGCTGATCCCAGTCTGAGTGAGCAACGTGGGTGACCCCCCCTTGATCTCCATCCTCCCCATGCAGTGATTCCTACTCAGTGTTTTGGGGGGGGAACCCCCCCTTTTCACCATTCCCGGAGCCTCCAGGTCTCCCCCATTCCCACAGATGAGGACGTGGCTCTGCGTTGGGGGGCGCAGGGTGGAGGTGGTGCTGCCCTTCCTGGGCAGGTACCACCCGGACTCGGGGCGCTGCTGCCAGACCTGCACCCCCATGAGCTGGGTACGAGCCTCTTGGAGCCATCCAGGAGAGGATGAACCCCAGGGATGTGGGGCTCAAACCCCATAGTGCCCATTCCCTCCTTTGCTTCCAGGATGGATTCTACTCGGAGCAGTTCCGTTCCCTCGGCTTCCGTGACATCAGCCGGGTGACGGAGAAGGACACGCGGTGAGGCACCGGTGCTTTATTCCCTAGGGAATTCCCAATCCCTATGGAAACCCTTTCCCCTGCTGCTTGGGGTGGCCTCTCCATCAGCCTTGCCCCATAGTGACTCCAAGGAGCTGGTTGAGAGGCTGGAAGCCAGCACAGGGATAAGCTCACCCACGCTCCCAGCCCCTTCCCAATGCTCCCTCCTCATCCCAAACCTTTCCCCTGCTGCTTAGGGATGCCTCTCCATCAGCCTTGCCCCATAGTGACTCCAAGGAGCTGGTTGAGAGGCTGGAAGCCAGCACAGGAATAAGCTCACCCACGCTCCCAGCCCCTTCCCAATGCTCCCTCCTCATCCCAAACCTTTCCCCTGCTGCTTGGGGATGCCTCTCCATCAGCCTTGCCCCATAGTGACTCCAAGGAGCTGGTTGAGAGGCTGGAAGCCAGCACAGGGACAAGCTCACCCATGCTCCCAGCCTCTTCCCAATGCTCCCTCCTCATCCCAAACCTTTTCCTATGGCTGCTTGGGGATGCCTCTCCATCAGCCTTGCCCCATAGTGACACCAAGGAGCTGGTTGAGAGGCTGGAAGCCGGCACAGGGACAAGCTCACCCACGCTCCCAGCCTCTTCCCAATGCTCCCTCCTCATCCCAAACCTTTTCCTATGGCCTGTAGGGTGGGGAGGGAAAGCTCCAGCTCCCTATGCCCATCCATGCACAGGTTCCGGGGCTGGCTGGCACGCAGGCTCTGTGGGCTCCTCGCTGTCTGCTCCTGGAGGATCCCCACTGACCCCCCTGGAGACCTCCCAGCACGGATCTACCACAGCAGGAGGTGGGAGCGGGCACAGGGGCTCGGCAGCACCCCCAGCGCTGTGGGATCCCAGTGGGTGACTGGAGCAAGGGGGCTGGGAATAGCCTGGGTTGAATGGGATGCTCCCATCTCCTCCATCAGGGTGCAGGATGCTGCTGCTGCCCGTGGTCCAGCAGGGGATGATGGATGGAAGGAGAAGATCCTGGAGCTGCTGGGTGACATCCAGGCCCCGCTCTCCGTGCTCATGCTGAGGTCTGGGTTCCCTCCCTTGGCTGTGATCCCCCTTCCCTATATTCCCACCTCCTCCTGGAGCAATCCCAGCTCCTGGCTGGGGCGTTCCCAGTCCCTCCACTTTAGGGCTCTTTATTAAGCTCCTTTTGGATGGGTTTTGAGTGGTGGCCCCGTGCTTGGTGCCATCTCTTTGGGGATGCTGTGGGAAACACCAGGGTGCTTTGAGGGGTGCAGGAGGACCCTTTGGGGTCCTTCCATGGAATGTGACACAGGGACAGAGAAGGCTGCCCCACTGGGAGGGTGGGAATCAAACCCAAGCCAAAGGGAGCAGTTTATTTGCTGTGTGGGGCTGAGCCGGTCCCTGCTGCTGGGTGGGGAAACCGAGGCAGGGAATGGGGTGGCCTTGGTTGGGGGGGGGTTCTTCCCTCCCTGCTTTTCCTGTAGGATCTGCCACTGGGTTCTACTGAAGCTCCTGAGCCGCCTGTTCCTGAGCCTGCAGCTGCACCGGGGCCAGCTGGAGATGGTGCTGAGGGCAGCCAGCACGGTGGGCACGGGGTGAAGCCACCCTCGGCCCCATGCCGATGGCACCCCATGGCGCTCAGCCCCACGCCTCCCTTACAGCCCCGTGTGCCGCTGGTTTTCCTTTCCACGCACAAATCCCAGCTGGATGGGCCGCTCCTCTCCTTCATCCTCTTCTCCCAAGGGCTCGGGGTGCCCAGGGTGACGGTGGGTGCCCAGGCCTGCAGCCCTCGCCTCCGGTAAGGCCTGACCCGCACCAGTGTGGGGCACTCCAATGGGGATCCAGTGGGACACAGCCCAGTGCCGGCTGCCTCCTGTCCCCCTGCAGATCCCTGCTCCGCCGCCTCGGAGGGGTTTTCCTGCCTGCAGGAATGGAGCAGACCCGGAACGACCCCAAGGATGCGCTCCCAGGGGCTGTGCTGGCTGCGGTGGGTGCTGGCTGTGTTCAGGGCTGCCCCAAGCCATGGGTGCCAATGGGTGCCCCCCATCCTCACCCCGCTCCCCCTGCAGTACATGGAGGAGGTGCTGAGGAGCCGGCAGCCCCTCCTCATCTTCCTGGAGGAGCCCACGGTGCCGCTGCACCTCTCGGCCTCGGCCCGGTGCTGGCTGGCTCTGGTGCAGGGCGCCGTGCGCGCCGGTGCCGTCCCCGACGTCCTCCTCGTCCCGGTGGGCATCGGCTATGACGTGGTCCCCGATGGATCCCAGCCGGAGGCAGCGGTGAGGGGGTCTTTGCTAGGGTGGGTGCAGCCCCTACATCACCCCCGTGCACCCCAATAACGCCTCGGTCCCCCCCCAGTGCAGCGCTCAGCCCCTCAGCATCACCTCCATCCTCTGGGCAGCATTGAGGGCCCTGCGCCGGAGGCTTGGCTGTGTCCGGGTGGATTTTGCCCAGCCCTTCTCCTTACAGGTAGGGCAGTGGGGATGGAGCCTTGGGATGGGGGTGTTGGGGTGCCAGGGGATCTGGTGAGCCCATCTCTATGGGAGTGCCAGGGGATCTGGTGAGCCCATCTCTATGGGAGTGCCAGGGGATCTGGTGAGCCCGTCCCTATGGGAAGCTCCAGTGGATCCCATCAGCTCGGTGATGCTCCGGTGCGCACCAACATCTCCTTCATCCCCATTCCCAGGAGTTCATGGCCAGAAGCTGCAGCAGGCAGGCAGGGGAGCTGGAGGAGCTGCTGCCCAGCATCCTTGGCACATGGTGAGCAGGAGCCAGCCTCAGGCAGCACAGAGCCTCCAGGGCTCCCGGCTGCACATCCTCACCCCTCTCACCCCATTTCCCACAGGCCCAGCCAGCTGGATGCTGGGAATGCTGGGAATACTGGGATCTGGGCTCCTGGCTCCACAAAGACCCCCAGCTTGGAGGCACCAGAGGAGATGATGGTGACCAACCTGGCCCTGCACTCACTGAGCGGTGAGGGGTGGTGGGCTCCATCCTCAGCCTGTCCATGCAGGGTCACCCCTCTGCTGTGCTGTTCACTCCCAGTTATCCCTGTCCCTCCTTCCTCCTTCCCAGACAGCGTGTCCTGCTCTGCCATCATGTCCGTGGGCATCACCTCTGCGCTGCTGCTGCACAAGCACAGGGAGGTGAGGCAGGAGCTTCACTTCCAGGCTTCTCTTCCTGGTGGAGCAATGGTCCCAGTGCCTCCTCCTCCTCCTCCTCTTCCTCCAGGGCATCTTCCTCTCCCGGCTCATGCAGGACTTTGCCTGGCTGCTGGAGGAGATCCTGCTGCGCCAGCGGGACGTGGGCTTCTCGGGGCAGCTCCGGGCCCTGGTGCAGCACAGCCTCACCCTGCTCAGGGCCCGCCTCCGCCTCTACCACCTCTGCCCCCCCGGTGACATCCTGGTGGTCCCCGAGGCCTCGGCACAGACCTGGAGGGAGCTGGGCCACCAGAGCGCTGCCATCCTGGGTGTCTTTGCCAGCGAGGCGGTGGGAGGTGAGGAGCGAGGCGTGGAGTGGGAGCTGTGACACTGGGATAATGGGTGATACTGGGGCTACTGGTGACACTGGGATGATGGGTAACACTGGGATGAGGAGTGACACTGGGACAATGGGTAACACTGGGATGAGGGGTGACACTGGGACGATGGGTGACACTGGGACGATGGGTGACAACGGGACAATGGGTGATACTGGGACAATGGGTGACACTGGGATGATGGGTGACACTGGGACGATGGGTGATACTGGTACGATGGGTGATACTGGGACAACCAGTGACACCGGGACAATGGGTGACACTGGGACAACTGGTGACACCAGGACAATGGGTGACACCGGGACGATGGGTGACACCAGGACAACCAGTGACACTGGGACAATGGGTGACACTGGGATGATGGGTGGCACTGGGATGATGGGTGACACTGGACAACTGGTGACACCGGGACAATGGGTGACACCGGGACAACTGGTGACGCTGGGACAATGGGTGACACTGGGACAACGGGTGACACCAGGAGAATGGGTGACACTGGGATGATGGGTGATACTGGGACAGCTGGTGACATGGGGACAATAGGTGACACTGGGACAACTGGTGACACCGGGACAACCGGTGACACCGGGACAATGGGTGACACCGGGACAACCGGTGACACTGGGACAATGGGTGACACTGGGATGATGGGTGATACTAGGACAATGGGTGACACTGGGACGATGGGTGACACTGGGACAATGGGTGACACCAGGACAATGGGTGACACTGGGATGATGGGTGATACTGGGACAATGGGTGACACTGGGATGATGGGTGATACTGGGACAATGGGTGACACTGGGACAGCTGGTGAGACTGGGACAATGGGTGACACCGGGACGATGGGTGATACTGGGACAATGGGTGACACTGGGACAATGGGTGACACTGGGACAACGGGTGACACCAGGAGAATGGGTGACACTGGGATGATGGGTGATACTGGGACAACTGGTGACATGGGGACAGTAGGTGACACTGGGACAACCGGTGACACCGGGACAATGGGTGACACCGGGACAACCGGTGACACTGGGACAACCGGTGACACTGGGACAACCGGTGACACTGGGACAATGGGTGACACTGGGACAACCGGTGACACTGGGACAATGGGTGACACTGGGACAACCGGTGCCACCGTTCCCCCTGCAGCCTGTGCCATCCGAGCCCTGCTGGTGGAGCTGGTGCCCTTCCTGGACCCCACCATCCGCACCTCCAGCATCATCCTCAGCCAGGCCGAGCTGCACCGCAAGACCCTGGAGCTGCTCCAGCTGCTGCCCCCCAACCTGCTGGGGCTCCGGGTAGGGGCTGGTGGCAGGGGGTGGCACCGGCATCGCACCACGGTGCCCTCTGTGTGCCTTGGGTACCAACCCCGCTCTTCCTCCTCCTCCTCCTCCTCCTCCTCCTCCTGTCCCAGCCCTGCCAGCCCCTGGCCTGCTGGAGCCAGGACATCGTGGACAAGCTCATCCTATGCGGGCTGCTGGAGCCAGAGGAGGTGGGTACCCCCCTGCAGCCCATCATGGGATGGGGATGAGGGCTTTGGGGTCCCCACAGGGGACAGGGGGTGCTGTAGGGTGGCTCCATAGGGCCTGCCTTGTCCCCACAGCCCGAGGGTGAGCACTGGGTCTGCGACACAGCCCGCAGCCGGCGCCAGGGACAGCACAGCATGGACTTCAGTGACAGTGACAGCGAGGATGAGGGCCCCCCCAGCCGCTGCTTCAAGGTCTCTTGAGCTTGGGGGGGTCCCCCTCATCACCCCCTTATGAGGGTGCTCGCACTGAGCTCTGCTTCCCCCCCCCATCCAGCTTGGGGAGCCCCAAGGCTCTCCCGGCCTCTTCCTCTTCCTCTGCCGGCTCCTCAGCCCCGTGCTGGGCACCTACACCAGGGCCGTGGCTTTCCTGGGGCAAACCCACTGGCCCCAGCATGGTGAGAGCCCCAACTCCTCCTCCAGCACCCCCAAACCCCACTGGGCTCTGGGGGAACCCAGGCAGAGCCGCAGCTCCCTTTGCAGCCCCAGGGCTTTGACCCCCATCTCCCCACACAGAGGCAGCCTATGTGGAGGAGCTGCTCCAGTTCCTGGCCAAGGAAGGCACTGGTGAGCTGGGGGGTGCATGGGGCCTCCATCCTGCTTTGGGGTCACCCCCCCCCTCCATCCCCCCTGTGGGATCTGGGGGGGTCCCTCAAGGCTTTCTCTGCCTCCAGAGCTCCCCAACAGAAGCCTGGCCCTGAGCTCTCTGCAGACCTTTAAGGAGATGGGGGTAAGCACCAAAGGCTCTGCCTACCCCCCCTGCACCTCCTGCTGCCCCACAGTGACACCCCATCTGCCCCCCATAGGTGCTGGAGGAGGTGGGGGACCCCCCCAACCCCCTGCTCCACCTCGCCCAGCCCTTCCACTCCAGTGCCAACCGGGAGAGGCTGGAAGCCTTCATCCAGCAGTTCCTCCAGCCCTAGGAGCATCCTGCTTTATTGAGCCCCATGGGGGTGATCTGGGGGTGCAGCAAGCAGCCGGACCGGGGTACGCTCCCATCTCCATCTTCACACCACCTTGTTGCAGATGACCCCCAGCTCCTCGATCTCACACCGCACCTCATCTCCTCTCTGCGAGGGGCAGGGAGACACTGGCACCCCCCAGCCCCTCCATAGGGGCCTTTACACCCCATTCTGCCCCCCCAAACCCCCCTCAGCACCTCCCCTCTGCCCTCACCTTCAGGAACACGGGGGGCTTCCGAAAGACACCCACCCCCGGAGGGGTTCCCGTGAGCAGGATGTCCCCAGGGACCAGGGTGACGAAGCTGGGGGGGGGGATACAGGAGGTGTCACAGTGACCCCTGCAGGCGGTACCGGTGCCCCCGGCCCCCCCTTACCGGGACACCCATGCGATGAGCCTGGGCAGGCGGAAGATGAGCTGCTTGGTGCTGCTGTCCTGCATCACCCGCCCGTTGACGCTGCAGCTGATGCGCAGGTTGTGGACGTCTGGGGGGAGCCAGGGGAGGGGACATGGGGGGAGATGAGGGGTCACCAACAACAACACCAACACCCCCCCCCCGTGGGGAAAACATGGAGCTTGTGGGGCAAATCGGTGCCTCTTGCCTCTTGTGTCTGTCAGAAAGAGCCTGTGCCCGTTCTCATCCTATCACTGTGCCCTGTCCCTATCCCATCCCATCGCTGTCCCATCCCCATCCCATCACTGTGCCCTGTTCCCATCCCATCCCTGTCCCCATCCCATCGCTGTCCCCATCCCCATCCCATCACTGTACCTCATCCCATCCCAATACCCTATTGTCATCCCATCCCATCCCTGTCCCCATCCCATCCCTGTCCCATCCCATCACTGTGCCCTGTCCCCATCCCATCACTGTACCTCATCCCATCCCCATACCCCATCCTCATCCCATCCAATCGCTGTCCCATCCCTGTGCCCTGTCCCCATCCCATCCCTGTCCCCACCCCATCACTGTCCCATCCCCATCCCATCACTGTGCCCTGTCCCTATCCCATCCCTGTCCCCATCCCATCACTGTGCCCTGTCCCTATCCCATCCCTGTCCCCATCCCATCTCTGTCCCATCCCCATCCCATCACTGTGCCCTGTCCCCATCCCATTGCTGTCCCCATCCTATCCCTGTCCCCATCCTATCCCTGTCCCCATCCCATCGCTGTCCCCATCCCCATCCTATCCCTGTCACCATCCCATCATTGTCCCATCCCCATCCTATCACTGTACCTCATTCCATCCCGATACCCTATTGTCATCCCATCCCATCACTGTGCCCTGTCCCCATCCCATTGCTGTCCCATCCCCATCCCATCCCTGTCCCCATCCCATCCCATCCCTGTCCCCATCCCCATCCCATCACTGTACCTCATCCCATCCCGATACCCTACTGTCACCCCATCCCATCCCTGTCCCCATCCCATTCCTGCCACCATCCCATCGCTGTCCCATCCCATCACTGTGCCCTGTCCCCATCCCATCACTGTACCTCATCCCATCCCCATACTCCATCCTCATCCCATCCAATCACTGTCCCCACCCCATCCCTGTCCCCATCCCCGTACCCTGTCCCATCCCATCCTCACCCGTCACAGCCTCCTTGGTGACAAGCGCTGGCCCCAGGGGACAGAAGGTGTCAAAGGTTTTCCCCAGCAGCCACTGCCTCCCGTTCCTCCTCATCTGCCAGTCCCGGGCACTGACATCGTTGGCCACCGTGAAGCCCACCACGTGCTCCATCGCTGCCTCCTCCTGGGGGGCACAACGGGGACCCGCTCAATGTGGGGCCCCAACCCCAGACCCACAGACAGGAGGAAGGGGGCCGGGGCTCACCTGGATGTGCCGCCCCTTCTTCCCCATGACAGCGGCCAGCTCCACCTCCCAGTCCACCTCCTATGGGGAGAACAGGGGCTGAGCACCCATTGCACGGTGGGGGCAGCACTGGGGGTCTGGGGGTGCTCACGGTGCTGTCCTCGGGGTGCTCGATGTCATCGAAGGGCCCGATGATGGCGCTGGGGAACTTGCTGAAGATGATGGGCTCCTTGGGGACCTTCACGTCCTGCTCCAGGCAGTGGTCCCGGTAGTTGAGCCCCACGCAGATCACCTTCTCGGGGTCACCCACGGGTGCCAGGAGCTGCACAGCGCTGCGCGGCACCCGGTGACCCCCCGACTCCAGCGCCCTGCGGGGCACACACCTCTGTATGGGGGCACCCACCTCTGTATGGGGGCACCCACCTCTGTATGGGGGCACCCACCTTTGTATGGGGGCACCCACCTCTGTATGGGGGCACTCACCTCTGTATGGGGCACCCACCTCTGTATGGGGGTACTCACCCCCCTATGGGGCACCCACCCCTCTATGGGGGCTCCCACCTCTGTATGGGGCACCCACCTCTGTATGGGGGTACTCACCCCTGTATGGGGCACCCACCTCTGTATGGGGGCACCCACCTTTGTACTGGGGCACCCATGTCCGTACTGGGGCACCCACCTCTGTACAGGGGCACCCACTCCTATACAGGGGCACCCACCTCTGTATGGGGGTGGCCTCTATATGGGGGCACCCACCTCTGACCTGGGGCACACACATTTGCATGGGGGGTGCTCATTCCTGTATGAGGCACCCACCTCCGTACCGGAGCACCCACCTCTATATGGGGGCACCCACATCTATACGGGGGACAGCCACCTTTGTATGGGGGTACCCACCTCCATACTGGGGGTACTGGGGCACCCACCCCTGTATGGGGGCACCTATCTTTGTACGGGGGCACCCACCCCTGTACGGGGGCACCCACCTCTGTGCCGCGGCCAGCCCGGTGGCTCCGGTCCCGAGGAACTCCCGCATGGAGCGGGGCAGCGCCGGCTCCGCCGCGCTCAGATCCACCAGCGCCTCCCCGCCGGGCGCCACCTCCAGCCCCAGGCGGGGCTCGGGCCCCCCCGGCCCCCGGAACCGCACCAGGCGCATGGCCCCGGCCAGGCGCATCCCGGGAAGCGCGTCCTGAGCCTGCCCGGAGAGGAGCGGGTCCCGCAGCGGCCGTGCCCGAGGTACCCCCGATCCCAGAGGGGATCCCCCCCTGCATCCCAATCCTGATCCATGAGGATCCCCCCGACCCCAATCCCTGGGGATCACCCCCCCCGCCCACCCCCCCCGCCGCTCCCGGTGCGGGATCCCCCGACCCCCCCCGTGCCCGCACCCAGGGGGGGTTCCCCGGAGCCACCTACGTCACGTCCCGCTCTTTGCCCGCCCTCAGGCCCCGCCCCGCCCTCGGGCCCACCAATGCGAAAGCCGGTAGCGTCCGGCCGTGCAGCCAATAGAAACGGGAGGCGTTAGGCTGTGCAGCCAATGAGAGTGGCAAGAGTTCCGTCTCTCAGCCAATGAGAGCCGGAGTGGGAGGGAACAGCGGCGTTGCTAGGATACGCAGCGCGGCCGCCGTGTGGGCGCCGCCATGACAGCGCCGAGGCCGGGCCCTCCCCGCTGCCCTTTGGCCCCGAAATCGCCGGTTTTGTCCCCAAATTGTGGCTGTTGGCTTTAATTAGAAAACACCCCGCGAAAGCCCGCTCCCGCGGCTCTAGAGCACGTCCTCGAAGATGCGCATGGAGCTCAGGATGTCCTCGTCCTGCGTGGGGACAGGAGCGGGTCAGGCCCGGAGCTGCCGCCATAACCCCTCCATGGCGGGGGAGGTGAGGAGCACAGAGGAGGAGGAGGAGGGGGGTGGTGGTGATGATGAAGGCAATGGGAGCCCCCCACCTTCAGGCACGTGTCCAGGAACTCCTCAAAGGTCACGACGCCATCGCCGTTCCTGTCCATCTTCTGTGGGGAAGAGATGGGGCTCAGTGGGGATGGGCCCAGGGACAGCGCCAGTGGGTGACAGGGACAGCACCGGTCCCAGTGCCAGGCATAATGTGTGACAGGGACAGCCCTGGACCCAGTGACAGCACCAGTGTGTGACAGGGACAGCCCTGGACCCAGTGACAGCCATAATGTGTGACAGTGACAGCACAGGACCCAGTGATAGCACCAGTCCCAGTGACAGCGCTGGACCCACAGACAGCACCAGTCCCAGTGACAGCCATGGACCCAGTAACAGCCCCATTGTGTCCCAGTGACAGCACCGGACCCAGTGACAGCACGGGACCCAGTGACAGCACCAGACCCACTGACAGCCCCATTGCGTCCCAGTGACAGCACCAGTCCCAGTGCCAGCCCCAGTCTGTGACAGTGACAGCATGGGACCCAGTGACAGCACCAGACCCACAGACAGCACGGGTCCCAGTGACAGCACCAGTCTCAGTGACAGCACTGGACCCATGGACAGCACTGGTCCCAGTGACAGCCCCTGACCCAGTGGCAGCCATGGACCCAGTAACATCTCCATTGTGTCCCAGTGACAGCACTGGATCCAGTGACAGCACGGGACCCAGGGACAGCCCCATTGTGTGACAGTGACAGCCCTGGACCCAGTGACAGCACCAGACCCGGTGACAGCCCCACTGTGTCCCAGTGACAGCACCGGACCCAGTGCCAGCCCCAGTGTGTGACAGTGACAGCATGGGACCCAGTGACAGCACCGGACCCACAGACAGCCCCAGTGTGTGCCAGTGACAGCATCGGTCCTAGTGAAAGCCATAATGTGTGACAGTGACAGCATGGGACCGAGGGATGGCACTGGACTGAGTGACAGCCCCAGTGGGTGACAGTGACAGCACCAGACCAAGTAACAGCCCTGGACCCAGTGACAGCACCGGTCCCAGGGACAGCACAGGACCCAGTAACAGCCCCATTGTGTCCCAGTGACAGCCCTGGACCCAGTAACAGCCCCATTGTGTCCCAGTGCCAGCCATGGACCCAGTGCCAGCCCCATTGCATTTGCTGGGCCGAGGGGGATGCTCTCACCTGGAAGAAGAGCTCCACGTGCTCCGCGGGGGCGCAGTCCCGCAGCGCGGGCTGGGTGCAGTGCCCCATCATGTCATAGATGGACGTCATGATCTCCAGCATCTCCTAAGGGGGGACGGAGCAGTGACAAGAACCCCCCCACCGAGGGCACCTCCGTCCCCAGCCCCATCCCCTGGGGTGCTCCCACATCCCCGTCACCTCCTTGGTGATGCAGCCGTCCTTATTGAGGTCGTAGAGGTTAAAAGCCCATTGCAGTTTCTGCTGCACCGTCCCCCGCAGCAGGACCGAGAGCCCCAGGACAAAATCCTACCGGAGGAAGCAGGGTTGAGTGGGAGCATCCCTGTGGGACCTGAGGGATGGGACCCCCATCTCCCACCCCTGCACTGGTGCTTGCGGATGAATTGTGTTTTATCCCTATTGATCCCGTTTCCATTCTCACTCGCGGCTATTTTTAATGCCCGCGGTGAAGCCGGTGCCGCAGTTCCGGCATCAACCCTGGCACCGGCTCCAACCGGAGCAGAGCTGTGATCCCGACGGAAGAGCCCATGGATCACCTGGAAGCACAAGGCCCCGTTGCGGTCGGCGTCGAAGGCGTCGAACAAGAAGCGTGCGTAGGCGCTGGCGTCTGCGGAGGGGAAGCGGGAGCCGGTGAAGCCACCGCATCCCGGTCCCTGTTCCCATCGGCATCACCACCGGCACTCACCGCCTTGCGGGAAGAACCGGGAGTAGATGAGCGTGAAGGTTTCCTCATCCACCAGGCCGCTGGGACACTCCTGGCATGGAATCGCGCACCGGTGAGGCCGCGGCTCCGGTGTAGCCACACTGGCAATGGGGAACCCCCCCCCCCCGGTGACTCACGCTCTTGAAGCCACGGTACAGGGATCGCAGCTCCCGCTTGGAGAACTTGGTCCGTGCCAGGAGCTGCTCCAGCTCCTCCGGTTGGTGCCGCGCCGCCGCCAGCTCCACCTCGACATCGCCGCCGTCTGCCCCCCCCCGCATCACTCCAGGCTCATCCCACCCAATCCCATCCCCAGGACCTGCTGCTGGACCCCCCCCTGTGCAGCACAAGGCACCTCCGGGTTGAACATCCCAAGGGGAAGCCACCCGATGCCAGGGTTTCCCCAGGAGCATCCCGGGGTGCGGAGCCTCTCGCTAAAGCTGCCTCCCGCCCCGGAGGAAGGTAATTAATAAATGATGCCTCATTAATAATTACTGCTTGGGAGGCCCCCATGGAGCCGCTCAGCACCGGGATCGGGGTGGGAAAACTGGCCCAGGGAAAGGCTCTGCAGTGCCGGGGCAGTAGGAGCGCCCCAAACCCCTTGGGTGATGCCAGGGGGGGGTTAAGCCCCCATCTCCTCCCCATGGGTGTTCCATGGTGCGAAGGAGAAGCCCTGAGCCCCTTCCTCCAGATGGGAATTGGGGGTCCCCGTGTCCCGTCTGTGGGGGGGTTGAGGTCGATGGGAGATTGGGGACCCCCCCTTTGGGAGGGTTTGGGCGTCACTGTGCGCTGAGGTCCCCCCATCACCCAGGTCCCAGCTCCCCCAGGAGGGTCTCTGTATGTGGGGGGGTCCCTGCACCCCCTCAATGCAGTGTTTATGTGGGGCTGGACCCAGCCCAGCCCCATAGGGAAGGGCAGAGCAAGGCTGGGCCATGACGAGGCAGGGCAAGGGGGGGGGTGAGGCTGCGGCTTGCCCCCCCCCCGCACCCACAAACCCTCAGGTTCACCCCCAACCACCCCCCCTCCGCCAGGGGGGAACCCCCAAACCCACCAGGTTTGACTCTAAGGGGCCTATTGATGGGCCCAACAGGTCCTTTAATGGGGAGAAACACCCCAAGGGGTGTGGGGAGGGCTGAAAATAGCTTAATTAATGAGGATTAATTAGGGTTAATTAAAGGGGGGGGCGGTACCTTCCACAGAGATGGGCTCCAGGATCCCGAACTGCTTGAGGACGGCGATGAAGAGGAGGATGACCACGGCCACGGCGCACAGCTCCATGCCCTGGATGCCCATGGCCGGTGGCGAGGAGAGGGGGGGGACCACGGGGATCGGGGTGTCCTCTGTGTGTCCCCCCCCTCCGGCACCCCGGACTGGGGTGAGGTGGTGGCGAGCGGGTGCGTCCGGGCGGCGCTGCAGCGGGGCCGGCCCTTCCTGCCCTCCTCCCTTGGCACCGGCCCATGGCCCCCCCCCTGCTATGGTTGCAGCCCTCTCCGGCCACAGGGGTGCAAAGGGGAGCCTGATACCACGCACCCCACACACCCCCCCCCCCAAGCACCCATGGGTGCCAAGCACAGCACAAGGCCTTGGAATGGGGGTGGGAAAGGGTTGGTTTGGGGGTGCCACAAGTACACCCCAGGGGGAGGTGGTGGTTATGGGTTGTACACCCCCCCGACACCCCCCCCAGCCTTCCAATGATCAGAGCACTCCATCCCCTGTGCCTCGGGGGGGGGTCCCCATCCCCACAGCTGCACAGACGCTGTCCCCATCACCCCATGGCTGTCCCCATTGCTTGGGGTCCTCCTGTTCCCAAGGCTCTGGGGCAGCCCATGGGGGTCTCCCTGTCCCCATGGTCCCAGGACATCGTCCTCATGATCCTGCCTCCATCCTTGGGGGTGCCCCTGTCCCCTAAACCCAACGGACATCACCCCTGCCTGCCCCCCCTGTGACCCCGTCCCTTGGGGTACTCCTGTCCCCGAGGGCCTGGACATGTCCCCATGGTCCCCCATGGTGACCCCTGGGGCCGCACCGAGGGGCGGAGCCAGCCGCAGAAGGGCGTGGCTTTAATGCTCAGGGGCGGAGCCAACCGCATGGGGGCGTGGGCAAGCGCAGTGGGCGCGGCTTCACCGCCAGGGGGGCGTGTCCGAGCTCTCCCCCAAAGCCCCGCCCCCGGCTCCGGCCCGCCACCACTTCCACTTCCGCCGCTGCCGCCGCCGCCGCCATGGCCTCAAGGTTACTGCGGGTGAGCGGGGCCCTGCGGCTCCTGCCCGCGGCCTGTGCCCGCGCCGCGCCCGCCCGCGGCCTCGCTGACCCCGGTGAGCGAGGGGGGGACCGGAACCGGGACCGGAACCGGGGGTGGATGGGGGGGAGCAGGGAGGGGCGGAACCGCGGAGGCCGCGGCCTCCGTTCTGAGCGCGCTGCCCCGCAGGCCGCCTGGCCACCGATGAGGAGCAGGCGACGGGCTTGGAGCGGAAAGTGATGGAGGCCGTGAGCAAGGGCCTGGTGAGTGCGGGCCGGGGGCGAGGGCAGGTCCCGGTGCGCCCCCCGCGCCGTTAACACCGCCCCCCGCACCCCCTCCCCTAGGACCCCTATAGCATGTTCCGGCCGAAGCGCTACGCGGGGACCAAGGAGGACCCGAACCTCGTCCCGTCCATCACCAACAAGCGCATCGTGGGGTGCGTCTGTAAGTGACAGCCCCCGCCCTCCGGTCCCGGCTCCCATCCCGCGGGGCTCTGGCCGGGCCTGTGTCCGTCCCTCCTCCTCCTCCTGTCCCTCCATAGGCGAAGAGGACAACAGCTACGTGGTCTGGTTCTGGCTGCACAAAGGCGAGGCCCAGCGCTGCCCCTCCTGCGGCGCCCACTACAAGCTCATCCCGCACGAGCTGCCCCACTGAGGAGCCCCCCCCGGAGCCGGTTCTGAGCCCCACACCTCGAGGAGCCTCCCCACGGATCTTCCCCTTCCTCCCCCTTCCAGGGAGCTGCTCCCCCCCCCCATAAAGAGTTTGTGTCTGTGAGCCCCCATCTGTGTGTGTGTGTGTGTGTGTGCGGGGGGTGCAGCACCCATGGGTGCAGGGGGGGGCATCGTGACCTTGCAGCTGTGTTTGGGGGAAGCCCCCGGGTTTGGGGTCACTGGAAGGAGGAGAGGGCTGGGAATGGGGGGGCTCAGAGGGGTGCTCAAGGGGCATCTGCACCCCATGGGCTGTGGGTCCCCCCTTCTATGTGCCACCCCGGGAGGGGAGGGGCGTCTGTTTGTCCTCAGGGGCCCCACAAGTGCCTGAGGGTGGCTGATGCTCGGGGTACACCCCCAAAGGTACCCATGGCAGTGGGGGTTGCCCATTGGGCCCCCCCTGCTCTTTGCAGTGGTTCAACCTCATGAACACAGGATGCTCGGGGGGGGGGGGGTCCCAAAGGTCCCTGTGCAGCCCCACAGGGGGGCTGGAGACTGCAGTGGCCCCCGTGCAGCCCCCCCCGATGATGTCATCACTGATGTCATCAATGATGTCATGCTCCTGCAGAGCAGCCAGGATCTGGGACCCGAGAGAGCTGCAGCCGGATAGTCACCGTGTGTGACCCCCCCCACGCTGCTGACGTGTCAGTGACGTCATGCCGATCGGCGCTGACGTCACACACACGGGGAGGGGCCCTCTGCGCCGCGCGGAGCCGTGAATGACAGGCGGGGCTGGCGGTGACGTCACGGCGCCGAGCGGGGAGGGGGGCGTGGCTTCGCGCAGAGGGCGCGCGGGGACGCGGTGGGCGGAGCCTCGGCGGCGGCGCGCGGAGTGCGGCGGTGACGTCACCCCTGTCGCAGAGGGGCGGGGCGGGGCCCGCCGGAAGCGGGGCGGTCGCGCGCGGAAGGGCCGGCGCGGGGCGGACAAGATGGCGGACGGGGACAGCGGCAGCGAGCGCGGCGGAGGCGGCGGCGGGTTCGGGACCGGGCGCGGCGGAGCGGGAGGAGGCGGCGCCGGGTCCGGGGCGGGCTCCGGCGGCGGAGCGGGCCCCGAGCAGGAGACGCAGGAGCTGGCGTCGAAGCGGTTGGACATCCAGAACAAGCGGTTCTACCTGGACGTGAAGCAGAACGCCAAGGGCCGGTTCCTGAAGATCGCCGAGGTCGGCGCGGGAGGCTCCAAGAGCCGCCTCACGCTCTCCATGGCCGTGGCCGCCGAGTTCCGCGATTACCTGGGCGACTTCATCGAGCACTACGCTCAGCTCGGCCCTTCCAGCCCCGAGCAGCTCGCCCAGGCCGCCGGCCCCCCCGGCGAGGACGGCGCCGGCCCCGGCCCCCGCCGCGCCCTCAAGAGCGAGTTCCTGGTGCGGGAGAACCGCAAGTACTACCTGGACCTGAAGGAGAACCAACGCGGCCGCTTCCTCCGCATCCGCCAGACCGTGAACCGCGGGCCCGGCGGCCCGGGGGGGTTCCCGGGCGGTCCCCCCGGCCTGCAGAGCGGGCAGACCATCGCGCTGCCGGCGCAGGGCCTCATCGAGTTCCGCGATGCGCTGGCCAAGCTCATCGACGATTACGGAGGGGAGGAGGACGAGCTGGGCGGCCCCGGTGGCGGAGGCCCCGGAGGGGGGGGGCTCTACGGGGAGCTACCCGAGGGCACGTCCATCACGGTGGACTCGAAGCGCTTCTTCTTCGACGTGGGCTGCAACAAGTACGGGGTGTTCCTGCGGGTGAGCGAGGTGAAGCCGTCCTACCGCAACGCCATCACCGTCCCTTACAAGGCTTGGGCCAAGTTCGGCGGCGCCTTCTGCCGTTACGCCGAGGAGATGCGCGACATCCAGGAGCGCCAGCGGGACAAGCTCTACGACCGCAGAGCCGGACCCCCCGGCCCCGGCAGCGGCAGCGGAGCCGGCGACGACTCGGACGGCGACGACGTGGACGACGACTGAGCCCCGGATCCCGCCGCCGGCCCCTTCCCCGACACCATCGAACCCCCCCCCCTCCCTTCCTCCCCGAACCGACACCCCCCCAACGCCACCGGAGAGAGGGAGAGCCCGGCCCGGCCCGGCCCGACCCGCGCTGCTCGTGGTGGTTGCGGGGGGGAAGCGACCGGGACCGGGTCCGAGCCCGGCCCGTACCGATGGGGGCACCACCGAGTCCAGCCACGTGCGGCACCGGAGCCGTGCCTGCGGAGCCAGAGCCGGGGCGGGGGCACGCATGGACCAACGTCCGATCTCGTCTGTACCCCCCTCTGGTTTCCCCTCTGCCTTTCCCCATTTGTGTCCCCTTTTCCTTTCCTCTTTCCCCCCTTTACTTTCCCCCTTACTTTCCTTTTTCTCCTTTTATTTTCCTCTTTTACCCTTTATTTTCTCTCTTTTCCCTCTTTCTCTCCCTCGTTCCTTTCTATTTTAACCCGGTTTTCCCCTTTAACCCCCCCCATTCCCATCCTTTCCTCCCTCCTCTCCTCTCTTCCTTTCCGGGTTTTTGGGATGCAAACTGCCCCCCCCACACCCCCCGTTCCATCTCCAGGCCCGCAGATCCCTCGGGATTGAGGATTTCCCACCGGGATCGCACAAGGGAAGCTCGACCCGGCACCAAACCTTCCCCATCTCCCTGCTCCGGCCCCAAGAGCCGCCTCTTCCATCGGGATTTGAGTTCCCTCCCGCAGCACCGACCTCAGGCGGCGGCACCGGTGGTGGTGGGGGGGGGACACGACCCGGACCTTTTTTTGGGGGGATTTTTGAAGCTTTTCCCCCTTTTCTTTGATCCCTTTGCTCCGGTGCTGCCCCCGCCGGGGCCTTCCCATTGCCTCGCGCATTAAAACGGAGTTTTCCACTCACAAATCGTCTGGTTCCCCCCCCCCCCTTTTCCTTTTTTTTCCTCGTTTTTCCCTGTTTTTTAGCTCACTCGGCCCCTTCCAGCCCTGCGCTTCCCCAGCGCCTCCGGACTGAGCTGGGCTCCAGCGCTCTTCATTCCAAAGTTTCCTGCTCTCATCCCACGGCTTCTCCACGTCGAGGATTTGGAGTTTCCCTGGGTTTTTTATGGAGTTCTTCCCGCTGCGTTTCGGGAGCCGCCGCCGCCTCCTTAATTTATTGTGGTGGATCCCTCTCTCCGTATTTATTGGGAAGCCCTCATGCAGCGGACGGGGGGTCCCTCCTCACCCCAAAGGAGCAGCACCCATTGGGTGGGGGGGACATCACCACCCATCCTTATACCCTCCACTGCTCCGTCGCTCTTCCCAAGGGATTTTTAACGCGGATTTCTCCCCTTCATCCCGTTTTTAAGCCTGGTTTCCTCACTCAACACGGGAGCAATAGTCTTTTATCTCGGTGTCCCACCTGCGTCCGTACTGTATTTTGTACCCGAAGGCAGCTCTCAGTGACGTCCTGCTGGACCCCCATCCCGTTTCCAGCTCCGCTCTTCCCTCTCCTTCCATAAGGAGATTCCCGGGGGGGAAGCGTGGCTCCGCCGCGACGGACTCAGCGGCGGGCGCCGGCGCCAGACGCAGGCGGTACCTCTCCTTTCATTTTAGAAGAGGATGAGCTCTATATATATATATATATAAACGATATATATATATTCCTATATTTTGGGGCTGAATTGCAGGGATTTAGCCTTGCCTTTCGACGCCAGCCTGGCTCGAAAACCATGGGATACATGGAATAGGAGGAAAAACGAAGAAACACACAAAAAAGAGGCAAGTGAAGCCAAAAGGAGAACAAAATCCACACGGCAACACAAGCGGGAGCCGGGGCCTCAGCAGCGTCGGCAGCACGAAGCCTTTCTCCTGCTGGAGAAGCGCCGGCTCCATATGGGAATCTTCCATTCGCCACCGCAGGAGATGGCTGAGAAGAGCAGAGAGAGGCAAAAAGAGGCCAAAACATCCCCGAAACGATGGAATCGGGAGGGATCCAAGCGGTGTTTGGAGGAGCCGTGGCACCAATGAGGACTTGGGGGGCTGCTCCGGGGAAATTGGGGGGGGTTTGGGGGTTTCCTTTAGTGGCCAGCGCCCAGGATCAGCCCTGAGGTGATGGTGATGGTGATGGTGATGATGGTGACACATCATCCGCGCCGGGAACGCTGTGTTCCGGCTGTTCCTGTATCTATATATATGTAGATACACCTCTCCGCGCGTGTGTGTACATATATTAGGGGCTTTGGGGCAAGGGGGGGGGTGTTGGATTTTGCTTTGGATTCTGTAGAAAACAAATTCCTTTTGGGTTTTGGGGTTGGTTTTTAATCGGGGGCAGAGGGGAGGGTAAAAGGGGAGAGGGAAATGATCCCAAATCCTTGGAACTTCCAGGTGGGAGTTGCTCCAGAAGGGCCGGGTTGTGAGCGCGCTGTGGCTGTACAGAACTCATCTGTAAATCTTGTATAGCGCCCAAACCTTGCTGTATATACCCCAAAATGTGTGGAGCTCCGGGAATAGTGGGAATGCTTCAAGTCAATACCCCCCCCCCCCCAAAAAAAAGGGATAAAAATGGGAATTCTGCCTTGGTCCCGGCCGCTTTGGGGGTGAGGGGCACGGAATGGGCCCTCAGTGCTGGGAGAGCGGTGATTGCTCCGGGTGAGCCTTTCTCTTTGGAACCAAATGAAAAGCTTCCAAAAATCCATGGGAAAACGGCAAAAAAGATGGAAAAACGGCAAAAATCCCATTAAATCCAAAGGGACCGGAGCCGATGCCCGACGGAGCTCTTGGCTGGGCGCACCAGGACAGCATTCCCGATGGGAGATGCCAACCGTGGCTCAGAGGGGGAGAGCCTGGAGCCTTGGTGGAGCCGGTCGAGCCGGTCAGGCCCTGTTTCCAGGTCTCATGGATCAAGCCGAGACGGGAGAAGGGAGCAGCAGCTCGGAGGCGGTGCAAGCAATGGGTTCTCCAAGCAGAACGGGGCGATGCTGGAACGCTACCGGATCCGCCGGGATCTGCCGAAAGAACCCAAACCCGCTCCCCCCCCCCCCAACCCAACCCCGCAGTCCCTTGAGAAAGAAGAAAGTTTTATTCCTCTTATTTTTTTAATGAAAGAAAAACAGAAAAGAACCATATGCACTTTAGGCAGCCCGAGGCGGGGCTGCCGGCGCCGGGGGGGGGGTTGTCCTATCCCCCTTTGCTTCCCTCCCTTCCTCCCTCGTCCCTCTGCGGCCGGCGGTTGCCGAAGGCAGGGCCTGGATCCCTGGATCTTACCACTAGCGCCAGACGACGCCCGGCGTGAGGAGCTCCTCGTGCCTCTGCTCCTCTCCTCCCCCGTAGCAGATTTTTGCAAGATGGAGTTTTACAAGTCTATATTTAAAGAATTGTATGTTTGTAACAAATAAAAAGTATGCGGAAAAGTGAATGGAAAAACGACAAAAAAAAAACCCACCAAATCCCGGCCCTGCATCATTGGGGGGGGGGGTTGGGTTGGGAAGGGGGGGGCGTGGGATTTGAATGGGATTTATGGGGCTTTGGGAAGGACTCTTGTGGTTTTAGGGGCTGTGTGGGGATGATATGGGGGGGCCCTTGGGGGTGAATTATGGAGGTTTGGGGGGCAGTTGTGGGTCTCTGGGGGAGCTTAGGGCCAAGGGGAGGACATAGAGGTCTCTGGGGAGAGCTATGGGGCTCTGGGGAGGCATGGGACCTTTAGGGTGGGACTCTAAAGGCTCTAGTGGGGACCTATGGGGCTTTCACAGGACCCCTATGGGACTCTGGTGGCATCTCGGGGCCTTAGGGGGGGATCCTTGGGGCTTTTGGGGGACTGTAAAGGCTTGGCTGGGGATCTATGGGGCTTTTGGGGGACTTTCCGACCTCTGCGGCACGCTATGGGGCTCTGTGCGCACGCACACGGGCACCCCGAGGTCTCAGCACGGCACAAAGGGGACGAAGCACCCAAGCAGCACCGTGTCCCGTGGAGGGACCCCGGGCTGGGCAGGGTCTGTGCCACCGGCACCGCACGGAGCAATGCGGCTCCCCCGCGGGCGGCCCCCGGCACCCGCCGGCAGCAGCTGCCGCGGGGCCCCATCGCGGCTGGAGCCGGGGATGCGCGGGGCACAGCTGCGGGGGCCCGGCCATGGGCAGGCAGCTGCTGCCGGCGGGGCAGGTGCCGCTGGGCTCCTCCGGAAGGGAGCGGGAGCAGCTGCGGGGCCCTGAGGCGGGGGGACACTGAGGCACCGGCCCGGCCCGGCCTGGCGCGGCCCTACCTGCTCCACCGCCGCCGGCCGTAACCGAGCGGGAAGCTTTGTGCCGGTCCCAAGCCCCTCACTGCGGAGGGGGAGCCCCCACAGAGGGCCCTGACGGAGCCCACCCGGTACCGGCGCCGAGCGGCGGCCCCTTCCCTCAGCGCCTCACCGCGCAAACAAACAACGCGAGGGGCGGGGCCAGAGAATGGGCGGGAAAGGTTTTCCTCCTCCCATTGGCTCATTGAGCTGTCTGTCATTCTATCCCCGCCCCCTCTTGCCATTCCGCTGTTTCTATTGGATCGCAGCCACGTCACTCCGCCGCCCCGCCCACCGGCGCGGCACGCCCCCGCCCTCACCCCTGCGTGCCGTGTGCAAAGGAAAAACAGCCGTTAAACGGGCCGCGGGGCGGTGACAGGCGACGGGGTAAGAAGGTGGGTTATGATTGGTGATAGCGGCGCGTTCAAACTAGCACGGGCCGTCGCGATTGGCTCGCGGGCCGCCGCGGCAGGCCGGGCTCCCTCGTCGCTCGCGGGAGGGTTATTGTCTGGCGGCTCCTGAGGCGGCTCCAGCGCGGGATCGGCACCGGGGCTCGGCGGCACCATGGTGAGGGGCGGCGGGGGGTGGCTCCGGTACCGCGCCGTGACCGTGTCCCGAGGGGCTCCCGGGGGCGCCGAAATGGGCGGATGGGATCCCTCCCCCCCCCGGGTCCCATCGTCGGTGTGACCGGAGCCTCTCGCTGCCCTGAGGCACTTCAGGAACGGGGCTGTGCCGCTTCCCGGCGGCTCCTTCCGCTGTCACCGGGAGGGCTGCGGAGGGGAAGTGGCGCTGGGGGCCGCTCTCTGCCGTGTTCCCGAAGTTGCTGCTGCGGTGAGGAAGCGGCTGTCAGGGGGGGAACCCCTCTGAAGGGCTCCTGTCAGCGCCGCTGCCTGCGCTCCCCACGGGTTAGGGCCCAGGGAGGCGGAGGTCACGGCCCTGTGCATGGCCCGGGGGTGGGAACGTGCCGCGGCGGGGTCTGTAACCGGTGAGCGGGGTCTGTAAGCGCAGTGCAGGCAGCAGGAGAAGGAGCAGGAGATAAGGGCGAGCCCGGGGGCAGGTTACGCAAGGCCGGCCGATACGGAGCTGCTGTTCGGAGGGTTTGGTCGCGTCTGGAGCGAGGGGAGGAGGAAAAAGGAGCCTTGGTTTTTGGCTTGGGAGAGATCCAGTGGTTCCATGAGGGAGGTTTCCCTGTGGGAATGCGCTCCCATGGGGAGAAGGGAAGGAGCCGCCGCTCCTGTGCCTGTCAGTGCTGGGCAGCACGGATGAAGAAGCAAATCCGCTCCGTGAGGAAGAGGAGGGGATATTGACAGCGGACATCGCAGAGCCGCCGTTCCTGCAGGACCGTGCCCGGGATGGGGATGAGTGTGGAAGCTTTACCAAGCTTTACTGCTTCCATAGAAACTCCGTGGGGTTCAGATCCTTTTGGACGCGTTTCTGCTGCTCTCCTGACAGCCCCGTCCTGCAGGGGAGGGTTTGCTGTGCCGGCATTCCCGCTGCTGGATCTGCTTCATCTCTCCCCTCCACTTGAACGAGCTCCTTGCAACTTCTCCCCATGGTTGAGTTTAAAGAGCGCCTGGATGCCTGACAGCGGGAATTCCTCCTTCATAGACAGGAATAGGGGTTGTGGGATCAATGCATGGGCTAAAGGCAGGGGTTTAGATGGACTCAGCGTGGTTTTGGGCTCTGCTCCCCCTCTCCAGGGTTTCTTTGCTGCTGTTTCTTCAAGAGAGCAGATTTGGGGGGTATTTTATGTGTTGCTCTCCTCATGTTAACGGGGTCTTCACCCCAGTGATAGGTCCCAGCTGAGCGGTTTTATGACCTGCATTCATACCAGTGCCAGGTTTGAAGATCACCGCTGATGATCTGACACACACCTGGGAGGAGGAGTGAAAATAACACCTACAGAGGCAGCAAAGATCAGGCATTAAACACACCCAGAGCACGGCTCGTACCCAGCGCCTGTTCCTCGGCAGCAGGATGAGGGCAGGCTCAGCCCCATGGCACAGCCGGGGGGATCTTCCCTAATTTTCCCACTTCATTTTGTGTATTTATTCAATGTAATTCCAATTATCAACACGTGGGGGTGATTTTTAATATTCAAGTGAGATTATCATGAGGATAGATAGCCCAAAGGACACTCGAACAGTGTTTTGGTGGCTTGTGAAGCTGTATTTTGCTGCTTGTTCAGAGGACGTTGGGATGTTACACTGATTAGAACGTTGTTAGCTGGGTTTCTCTGTCCTGGTTACATGGAATCCCAGCCTGGTTTGGGTTGGACGGAGCTTAAATCCAGCTCCAACCCCTGCCACAGGCAGGGACCCCTTCCACTGGAGCAGCTTGCTCCAAGCCCCTGTGTCCAACCTGGCCTTGAGCACTGCCAGGGATGGGGCAGCCACAGCTTCTCTGGGCACCCTGTGCCAGCGCCTCAGCACCCTCACAGGGAAGAGCTTCTGCCTAAGAGCTCAGCTCAGTCTCCCCTCGGGCAGGTTCAAGCCATTCCCCTTGGCCTGTCCCTACAGGCCCTTGTCCCAAGCCCCTCTCCAGGTTCCCTGCAGCCCCTTTAGGCACTGGAGCTGCTCTAAGGCCTCCCCTTCAGGAGCCTTCTCTTCTCCAGGCTGCCCCAGCCCAGCTCTCTCAGCCTGGCTCCAGAGCAGAGCTGCTCCAGCCCTCGCAGCATCTCCATGGCCTCCTCTGGCCTCTCTCCACCAGCTCCAGGTCCCTTTGGTGCTTGGGGGTCGCTGCACATGGATTAATTCCCGGTGTCTCTCCCCTGCAGGCTGGTGGGAAGGCGGGAAAGGACAGCGGGAAGGCCAAGGCCAAGGCGGTGTCACGCTCGCAGAGAGCCGGCCTGCAGGTGAGGCACCCCCAAACCTCCCCCCTTAGGGATGCTTTGGGATCGGGAGCCCAGGGGATGAGGGGGCTGTTGGGGACCCCCATGAGTGCATTGGGTGCTGTTTAAGGGGGTTAACAACCGGGTCGCTCCCCCCCCAGTTCCCCGTGGGCCGGATCCACAGACACTTGAAGACCCGCACCACCAGCCACGGGCGAGTGGGAGCCACGGCGGCCGTGTACAGCGCCGCCATCCTCGAGTACCTCACTGCCGAGGTAGGTCCTGCCCCCTGCCTCCCTCCCTACCGGGGCTGCGGCAGCCCCAGGGTGCCCATCCCGAGGCTCTCGCCCCTGTCTGGGCAGGTGCTGGAGCTGGCGGGGAACGCCTCCAAGGATCTCAAAGTGAAGCGGATCACTCCCCGGCACCTGCAGCTCGCCATCCGCGGGGATGAGGAGCTCGATTCCCTCATCAAAGCCACCATTGCCGGCGGAGGTGAGTGGCCCTAAAACAGGGGGGGAGAATGAGTATGGAGGCCTGATTCCCGAGGTGCAATAAAGGGAGGATTTGGCCTGGCTCTGATGGGAATCCTCTTCCCTCCGCAGGTGTCATCCCCCACATCCACAAGTCGCTGATTGGGAAGAAGGGCCAACAGAAAACAGCGTAAAGAGGGCAGGAGGAGAAGCGGCCGCTCCCTCCCGCCGCCGCCCTGTGCCCGGGACACGAGGAATGTGGGGGGTTCATAAGGAATAGCTCAAGGCAGAGCCCAGGGACGGGCCTGCAGGAGGAGGAGGAGGAGGGAGCAGCGCTGTGGTGTGGGGTTGTTGCGGGGCAGGCGGCGGCGGGCGGTGCGGGGCTGGGGCTCAGCACCTCCGGCCTTTTATACACCTGGGACGGATAAAAGCGTTTTTTACATAACGATAGAACTCTGCTGTGCTGAGTCCCCGGAGGAACCGGTAACACCGGCACCCCCCAGCCACTACAGCATCAGGCCTGCGGTGGGGCCGCGCTGCCTAATACGAGCGTTTCCCCGCCCCTTATGCAAATGAGGCGTATGCAAACGAGGTGGGAGGGGCGAGACGCATCTCGAGGCTCCCCCGGGGTCCTCCCTTGGCGGGCTCTGTGTCGGTGTCGGTGCCCCTGTCCCGGGTGTCACAAGATGGCGGCGGGCGGCGCTGGGGCGGGCAGGCGCTCAGCCGGTAACATGGCTGCCTCGGGTGTTCCATGCGGCCGTACCCTGGGGGTATCCCGGTGCTCGCCGGTTGCCGTCCGCCCTGCTGTGCGCGGGGGGAAAGCGGCCCGGCCCAGCCGCCCTCCTGACCCTGCTCGGTGCTCGGGTGGGCACCGGAGGGCGCGGGGGCCTCAGGCCCGCTCCGGCACTGCCGAACCGCTCCTCCCCCCCCCCCATCTGCAGTGGTTTGCTCCGCCACGCCCCGCCGGCGCTCTGGCGCTCCTCATTGGCTGGGCGGGGTGGGGTGGGTATAAATAAAGGCGGGCCGGGGGCGCAGCGCTCAGTGTGCTGCTGGAGGGGGCGGGTGCGCGGGTTTCTCATTCCCTTTGTGTTCCCGGTGGGAGCTGCGGACGGGGCTGTCCCAGCACCGCTCGTGGGGGAATAAAAGGGGTGCAGGAGCTGAGTGGAGCCTGGGTTTGTGCTGGGGAAAGGGGGGAGCTCCCGGTGAACTGAGCAGGAGCCGGCAGGGTGCGCTTGAGGCCGGAAACCAACCGCGGGCCGAGCTGCGTCTGAAGCAGTGTGAGCTCATGGAGGGGATCCTGCCCCTCTGCTCCTGTGAGACCCCCCTGCAGCCCTGTGTGCAGTGCTGGGGTCCCCAGCACAAGGACATGGAGCTGGTGGAGCGAGTCCAGAGGAGGCCACGAGGATGCTCAGGGGCTGGAGCAGCTCCTGTATGGAGCCAGGCTGAGAACATTGGGGCTGGAGAAGAGAAGCTGCGTGGAGACCTCAGAGCAGCTTCCAGTGTGTGAAGGGGGCTACAAGGATGCTGGAGAGGGGCTCTGCATCAGGGACTGTAGGGATGGGACAAGGGGTGATGGGTTCAGACTGAAACAGGGGGAGTTCAGGTTGGAGATAAGGAAGAAGTGATTTATGTGAGGGTGCTGGGGCACTGGAATGGGTTGCCCAGGGAAGCTGTGAGTGCTCCATCCCTTGCAGTGTTCAAGGCCAGGTCGAACAGAGCCTTGGGTGCCATGGTTTAGTGTAGGGTGTTCCTGCCCATGGCAGGGGGGTTGGAACTGGATGATCTTGGGGTCCTTTCCAACCCAATCCATTTTATGACTCTATTGTGCTGTCCCCAATCCTCCCCCATTGCCCCATGAGACCCCCTCCACTGCTGCTGTAACCCCCCACAGACCCCATAACCTCCCATTGCTCCCCACTAACCCTTCATTACCCTCCATAAACCCCCACGCCTCCCTATCCCTCACTGCCCCGCCCTCCTCTCCTGGGGGCGTGTCCTAGCACCAAGCCCCGCCCCCCGGAGCCCTCTGCGCGCCCTTGCCACCTCCCCTCCACCTCCTCCACCCAATGACCGCAGCGGGGGCGCCCACGCGGCAGCCAATGGCGTGACGCGTCGCGGCGCGATGACGCCATCGGGAGCGCGCCGCAGGGGCGGCCCCGCGGAGGCAGCGGCGGCATGTTGCTGCCGCGGCGGCCGCTCGCCGGCCTGCTCGCCCGCTGCGCCCGGCCGGGCCCTGCCGCTGCCCTTACCCCTGCTGACCGCGGCCGGGCACCGGCCCCAACGCGGCGCCGGGGGCTTCTGGCGCTGCTTTGCAGCCGGTCCCGTGGCGGTGCCGGGGAGGCGGAGCGAACGCGGAGCACCGGAGGAGGAGGAGGCGGTGGAGGGGGGGGGTGGTGGTGGTGGTGGTTCTGGCTGCTCCGGGGCCGCCTCGCGTTCGCCGCCACCGGCCGGCTCATGGCCACCCTGGCCGGGGTGTTCGTGTGGGACGGGCAGCGCATCGAGGAGGAGGAGCTGCAGCGGTGCGTGTGTGTGTGTGTGTGTGTGTGTGTGCCCCCCCCTTTAGACGGGTACCCCCCAGCACTTGGGGGGCTCCGCATCCCCCAAACCCCCTGTTAGGCCCTTGGGGGAACCCCATCGGGCTCCTGAACCCCCCCGACCTCTCGGGGTCCCCCCTTTGCACCCCAGACACAGGGCAGGCCCCATAGGGAGGAGCGCCCCTTAAGTCCGCCCCTTAAATCTATGGGGTGCTGCCCCCCCGCCCCCCTTTGTCCCCATTTCTGGCGTGGGTCCCCTTTGTCCTCTCCTGCCCCACCATGGGGGTTCCCTGGGGATTTGGGGTGCCCCTTTAGCTCCCCTTCTATAGGATTTGGGGGTGCCCCCCATCACGGTTGGCAGTTCCACCCCAAACCTACCCCTTGGGCCTGGGGGGGGGGGTCCCGATCCCATGGGATGGCTCCAGAGGGACCAAAGGACCCACGTCCTTGGAGCCCAGTTTGTGCCACTGGGATGGTGCCGGGGCGATCCCAGCACTGGGAAAGGCACCAAACCCCAGCTCGTTCCCTTTGGGGTCCCAGTATCAGGGTGAACCCGCTGCAGTTTTCCACTGGGCTCAGCAGCGCTCGGCTTAGCCCTGGGATTAGGTAAAGCGGTGCCGGGATTATCCCGTCCCCAGTGACCGGGAGCAGCCTCCATTGAGGACCCCTCCGGCTCCATTGCTCCCAGTAGGAGGACGCTTCCCTGGGATTTCCCTCCTTGCTTTTCCCTTTCTCCGGCTCCGCTCCTTTCCCTGCACCCTTTGCCACAGGCAGGTGGGAATCCTCCATAGGGAACAGCGTTGGGAAGGGAGGAACGGGATCAAACCCTGCAGGAAGGGAGGAACGGGATCAGAGCATCCCCTTTCCCATCCCCTCCCAGCACTCATTCCCTGTCCCTTTTCCTTGAGCTCCGTTTTCCTTTGCATCCCATCCATGGGATGGGGGCATTGGGGTGTGGAGGAACCCCAGATCTAGCAAAGGGGTTTATGGAGCCAGTCCGGGATCCATCCAGGAGCCTGGTGACTTCCAGGGAATGGGGATTCAGCCGGACCAGTGGGACCGGCCTCGCAGCTCCCAAACTGGTGCCAGTTCCTTTGACACAGGGAATGCGCCTCGGGGCCTATCAGATCCAGCCTTTCCCTTCCCATGTATGGGGAAGCTGGGGCTCAGGATGGGGTTATCCCGCATCTCTCCTATGGGATGGAGATGCTGGAGCTGGGTTTGGATGGGCACTGACGGGGCTCTGGCTCTCTCCGCCCCCAGCTCTGCGCAGGAGATGAAGCACATGGAGAGCATTTCCAGCCTGTTCCAAGGGGATTCCCAGCGCCTGGATCCCCGCGGGGAGCAGCCATGGGAGATGATCATGGACAAGAAGCACTTTAAGCTCTGGCGGCGCCCGATCGAGGGCACCCACTTGTACCAGTACCGAGGTGAGGCGGTGGGGATGGTCCTGGCCTCATGCCCTTTATGGAGGGGGGGGTTTATCCCTTTTCCTACTAATCCCAGCATTAAAACCTCCCTGTTCCCGCAGTGTTCGGCTCCTACACGGATGTCACCCCCCGGCAGTTCTTCAATGTGCAGGTGAGCTCCATGCGCATCACATTTGGGATGAAGGGACCCTAAAGCCCATCCAGCTCCAACCCCTTCCATAGAGCACCCTGCTCCAAGCCCCTGTGTCCAACCTGGCCTTGAGCACTGCCAGGGATGGGGCAGCCGGATGCAAAGAGGGGGTCCCTCTTTATCCCATCCCCTCCTTTGGCCCTACACACACTGGGTACCCCCAGCTCCTCACCCCCCCTTGCTCCGGGCTCTGTCTGCAGCTGGACACTGAATACAGGAAGAAATGGGACTCCCTGGTCATCAAACTGGATGTGATCGAGAGGGATGTGGCCACTGGCTCCGAAGTGATCCATTGGGTCACGCACTTCCCGGTGAGCATCCCCTTCCCACCTCCCCTACAATGGGAAGCCACTGGGGCTCATCCCTATCCTTTCCATCCCCAGTATCCCATGTACTCCCGGGACTACGTCTATGTGCGGCGGTACAGCGTGGACCAGGAGAACAACCTCATGGTGCTGGTCTCCCGGTACGTGTCCCAGTGCCATGTGCTGGGAGGGAGCTGGTCCCAATTCCTTAATGGGATCAGCCAAAACTCAGGGATCTGCCTCAAAACCAGAGCAGTTTTTGGGGTGCAACCTTTGTTCTCTTGGTACCATCACCCCAAGCTGTTCCCATCTCCTTCCCTCCAGGGCTGTGGAGCATCCGAGTGTCCCGGAAGATCCCGAGTACGTTCGGGTCAGGACCTATGAATCCCAGATGGTGATCCGGCCCCACAAAACCTTCGATGAGGTGGGTCCTGGTGTGGGCTGTGGGGCAGAGACCTTCCTGCTGCTCCAAGTGGATCTGTTCCTTCTCCAGTTACTGAACTGGGCTCAATGCTCCACACTGGAAAGGGGGATCAGCCCCTTCCCAAAGCCAAGGACAACCCCTCTATGGGGGATTGGAAGCTTTAGCTCAGTGGATCCCTCCTTTTCCTGCATGAGCATCCCGCTCCCAGGAGCCGAATGCACTGCTCAAGCCTCACAAATCCCATTGGGAAGCACTTAAAGCTCCTAAAGCCATCATTAGGATTCCCCTTACAGGGAATAGGGGGGGGGGCAATGCAGAATTCCCACTGGCTCATGTCTGCTCCTTATCCCCCAGAATGGGTTTGACTACCTGCTGACCTACAGCGACAACCCCCAGACCGTGTTCCCCCGCTACTGCCTCAGCTGGATGGTCTCCAGTGGTGAGTGGGATGGGGATTCCAGTCTCCAGACTGGGAGATTCCCTCTGGAGCAAACTGGGAGGCTCCAGCATTCCCTGTGGGTTGGGGAAAGGAATAGGAGATGCTTCCAGTTGGAGACGTGGAGGTGCTTGGGGCTGCTCATCCATCCCCATGGGAAGGGGTCTGTGTGTGTGGGGAGATTCCATCGCTCCCAAAGGCAAACCCAGTGGGGTTCCCCTTTATAGCCACTGGTTTTAACTCACTCCCAGCCCCGAGATCCAGAGTGCAGGGAATGGAACTGGTGTCAATGGTTGGGAATGGGAAGGGAGGCTCTGATGATGGGAAGTGCGAGGACGCAGCAGTGGGACCGGGGGGGATAACGGCAGAGCTGGAGCATGGGGAAGGGGAAAAGGCAAAGAGGACAATGGGAAAGGGAGGGTAATGGGAGGATGGAGCTGCGGGAAGGCTGGGATTGGGGGGGTCCCCCATTGCACAGCATCACCCCCATGATCCCCCCCTCACTGCATCCCCCAGGAATGCCGGATTTCCTGGAGAAGCTGCACACGGCGGCGCTCAAGGCCCAGAAGCTGGAGCTGGAGGTGCGGGATTACCTGGCTGCCAAGGGGCTGGAGGGCAGCGACGGGAAGGCACCGGCACCGGCACCGGCACCGGCACCGGAGCACAAGGGCGAAGGGAGCCGCAGCCCCGCACAGCTCGAATACGCCTGAGGAGCCCATGGGGATCAGGGCTGGAGCCAAGCCAGGGGGTGCCTGGATAGGGAATAAGGGGGGGGGGACCCCAAATCCCCCTTTATTAACACACACCCCCCCCCCCCCCTTGTGCCATCGCTGTCCAGCCTCTTGCAATGGTTTTGGATCTCAGTTGTGTATGGATGAGGGGGTTGGATCCGCATCACCCCATTATGGATGGGATGGGGTTGGTTTTCCACACCCAAAGCCACTCCAATCTCATCACAAACTGGGGAGGTTGAACTGGGTGAACTGGGATGGGGTTTGTTCCCAGGGGTGATCCTGTGGGATTCCAGCCTGAACGGGGGCCTCCTGTCACAGCCCCCCCTCCCTGGGGATCCTGTTTTACTTCCCACCTTCAGGAACCCCATTGGGGTTGTCCCTGGGGCAGTGTTTATGGGGTGGCCTCCCCCCCGCTCCCCTTTAACCCCCCCCTTAGGAACTGACCCCAAATATTCCATATAAATATGAATTCCCACCTAAAGCTGTTGGATCTTGGGAAGGGGTTGGGGGGTGCTTGGGGGGGTCACAGCCTTGCAGTGTCCCCATAGCCGATGCTGGGGGTGGCACTGGGGGATCCATGCAGGCTGGGGGCGGGCAATGGCTGGTTGCCCCCCCAAAGTGTCGCCCTATGGGTGACACAGGCAATGCCCACGGTATCACCCCCACGTCCCCCCCCCCCGGGTCATTTGGGGACACGGGGGGGCCGCGCTGGTCACAAACCTTTATTGTAGCAGCAGGGGGGGGCTGTGACCCCCGGCCCGTTTTGGGGGGGGTCTCCCTGAGTTTCCCACGTTGATCCCAAGCCCCCCCCCCCCAAGTGCTGGTGGTGCCCGAGGGCTGCTCGTACCGCTCCCCCCCCATTCCCGTACCCCCATTTCTGCACCTGTCCCCCCCTTCCCATACCGTTCCCCCCCAATCCTGTACCGTACCCTATTCCTGCACTGTTCCCCCCCATTCCCATAGCTGTCTCTCCCCATTCCCGTACCCCCATTCCCGCACTGTTTCCCCCCATTCCTGTATCCCCATTCCCGTAACTGTCCCCCCCATTCCGGTATCCCTATTCCCATACCTGTCCCCCCCAATCCCAATTCCCGTACCTGTTCCCCCCCATTCCCATACCCCCATTCCCCCCTGATTCCTGTAGCGCCATTCCCGCTCCATCCCCCCCATTTCCATACCGTCCCCCCCTATTCCTGTACCTGTCCCCCCCCATTCCCGCTCCGTTCCCCCCATTCCCATACCCCCATTCCTGTACCTGTCCCCCCCCATTCCCGCTCCGTTCCCCCCATTCCCATACCCCCATTCCCGCACTGTTCCCCCCCATTCCCATACCCCCATTCCCGTACCTGTCCCCCCCATTCCCGTACCCCCATTCCCTCTCCATTCCCCCCCCATCCCCGCTCCGTCCCCCCCATCCCCGCTCAGGGCCGCAGCCCCCTGGGCACGAGGCTCCTCAGGGGTCTCCGCTCGGACTCGTTCCTGCGGACGCGGGCGGGGGGGGCGGGGCCGGGGGCGGGGCCGGGGCCCAGGGAGGGGCTGGAGCGCGCCCTGCTCAGCGCGGGGGGGGCCGCTCCCGGCTCCGCCTCCGGCTCCGGCTCCGCCTCCCAGCGCGGCTCGGCCCGGCCGCCCCCGCGGAGCCACGAGTCCAGGACCCGCACGTAGGTCTCGTAGCGGCGGCGCTGCGGGGGGGGCACCGCAACGGGGTCAGCGCGGGGACAGCGGGGGGGTAATGGGGCCGCCATGGCCAGAACAGGGTCACCATGGGGGTAATGGGGTCAACATGGGGACAGTGATGCCACAATGGAGATACTGGTGCCACCATGGCCAGAACAGGGTCACCATGGGGGTAATGGTGCAACAATGGGGATATTGGAGTCACCATGGGAGTAATGGTGCCACCATGGCCAGACCAGGATCTTCATGGGGATGTTGGTGTCACCATGGCCACAACAGGGTCATCATGGGGACAGTGGTGCCACCATGCCCAGACCAGCATCACCATGGGGATATTGGTGTCACCACGGCCAGAACAGGGTCACCATGGAGATAATGGGGTCACCATGTCCAGAACAGGGTCACCATGAAGATAACGGTGTCACCACGGCCACAACAGGGTCATCATTGGGATGATGGTGCCACCATGCCCAGACCAGCATCACCAGGAGGATATTGGTGTCACCATGGCCAGAACAAGGTCACCATGGATGTAATGGTGCCACCACAGCCAGATCAGCACCACCATGGGGACAATGGTGCCACCACGGCCAGACCAGGGTCACCATGGTGACAGTGGTGCCACCATGGGGATATTGGTGCCACTGTGGCCAGAACAAGGTCACCATGGAGATAATGGGGTCACCATGTCCAGAACAGGGCCACCATGGGGATAATGGTGCCACCATGATCACAACAGGGTCACCATGGGGATAATGGTGCCATCATGGCCAGAACAGGGTCACCATGGGGACAATGGTGCCCCCATGGCCAGAACAGGGTCACCATGGGGGTATTGGTGCCACCATGGCCCCAGTGCCACCATGCCCATAACAACATCACCGTGCCCATAACGGTGTCCCCATGGCTCCGATGTCCCCAGGGCCCCTCTGTCCCCATGGGCCCAGCGCCCCCCGTGCCCCGCAGCAGCCTCAGCGCCGGGGTCAGGCCCGGGCCGGCTCTGCCCTCACCTCGTGCAGCAGCAGCTCCGTGTCCCGCCGGTGCTGCCGCGGGTCGGGGCCGGGCCCGTGGCGCTGCCGCTGCCGCAGCTCCCGCTCCACCCGCTCCATCCAGGCCGCGTGGCTCCGGCGCTGCTCCTCCTGCGGCGGCACCGGGGGGGGGGGGGGGTGCGGGGGGGGCTCCCCGGGGCCTCCCTTCCCCCCCTTCCCCCCCCCCCCATTGCCGGTGCTCACCGGGGGGCTGCGGCTGAGCGCTGCGGGCAGCAGGGGCCGCGCGGGGCCGCGCTGGGACCCGACGGCGGCGGGGAACGGGGGCGCGGAGAGGAGCGCGGCCGCCAGGTTGAGGCGCGCGATCCAGGCCAGCATCTCCCGGGGGGTCCTGCGGGGGGGGGCGGGGTCACCGGGACCTCGCACCCCCCCCCCGTGTCCCGTTCCCCCACCCCCAACTCACGGCGCTTGGAAGAGGAAGCGGCGCCCGTCGGCCGTGCGCAGGCGGAACACGTCGGGGCGCTTGGTGTAAGCGGGGGCGCGCTCGGCCAGAGCGTGGTGCACCCCCAGCGGCGCCTCGGGGGGGGCCCCGGCCCTGCGCAGCTGCAGGAGGGTCCCCTCCAGCACCGCCTCGAAGCGCTTCCAGCCGCGTCTGCCCCACGGCGCTGGGGGGGGCACAAACGGGGGGGCTGGAGCCGGCGAGGGGAACCCCCCGGGTCGTGCCCCCCCCTCCATGGCTGCGCTGCTGTGACCCCCCCGGGATGGGCACCCCCAAATGTGCCCCTGCAGACCCCAACGGAGCCCAAAATCACCCCCCCCCATTAACCCCAGCAGGGGCTGAGGCCCCAAAGCTGCCCCCCCCCAATGGACCCCAAATCTGGCCCCCCCCCACTCACTCCTTTTGCCGTCGGCCTCGGTCAGCACCTTCCTGGCCAAGCAGCCCCGGTGGGTGACGGCCGCGGCCCCCCCCGGCAGCTCCGGCCGGGATTCGCTGCTCCTGGGGCCGGGGGGGGCCTCCTCCTCCTGCCCATCCTCATCATCCCTACGGGGGGGGCTCAGCATCACGGCCATCAGCATCCCCCCCCCTGCCCCATAGCCCCGCACTCACCGTGCCCACGGCAGCGCCTCCCTGCGGATGGAGCCGTAGAGAGCCTGGGGGGGAGCCGGGGCTCAGGGGGGGCTCCGGGGCCGCAGCGGTGCCGTCCCCCCCCCTTGTCCCCCCCGCACCTGGAGCTGCTGCCGGGGGAAGTCCTCCCCGTCCATCATCCCCCGCAGGTTGGCCACGAACTGGGCGCTGCTCATGGGGCGGCCGAGGCGCTGCAGGGGAGGGGGCGTGGGGGGGCTGCCCCCTGCACCCCGCTTTGGGGGGAGGGCACACACGGGGGGGCCCCCCCGCTCCTCACCTGCCCGTGGAGGTCGGTGTTGAGCAGCATCAGGGCACAGGTCAGGGAGTGAACCGCGTCTGGGGGGGAGCGGGGGGAGCCCCCAGGGAGGGCGCCCGGCCCCATCAGTGCCAATGGGGGCCAAGGGGGAACCCCAGAGCTGGGAGGGGAGGGGGGAGCTAAGGCATGGGGGGGGCTGCAGGGGAGTGTGTGGGGCTTGGGGTATCTATGGGTGTCTATGGGTGCTATGGATGCTATGAGTGCTATGGGTGTCTATGGGTGTCTATGGATCTCTATGAGTGTCTATGGGTGTTTATGGGTGCTATGGATGCTATGAGTGCTATGGGTGCTAGGGGTGTCTATGGAAGTCTACAGATCTCTATGAGTGCTATGGGTGCCTATGGGTGTCTATGGGTGCTATGGGTGTCTATGGATCTCTATGAGTGTCTATGGGTGTTTATGGGTGCTATGGATGCTATGAGTGCTATGGGTGCTAGGGGTGTCTATGGAAGTCTACAGATCTCTATGAGTGCTATGGGTGTCTATGGGTGTCTATGAGTGCTATGGCTGTCTATGGAAGTCTATGGATGTCTATGAGTGCTATGGGTGCCTATGGGTGTCTATGGGTGCTATGGGTGTCTATGGATCTCTATGGGTGCTATGGGTGTCTACGGAAGTCTACAGATCTCTATGAGTGCTATGGGTGTCTATGGATCTCTATGAGAGCTACGGGTATCTATGGGTGCTATGGGTGTCTGGAAGTCTATGGATCTCTATGAGTGTCTATGGGTATCTATGGGTGCTATGAGTCCTATGAGTGTCTATGGAAGTCTATGGATCTCTGTGGATCTCTATGGATCTCTGTGGGTGCTATACGTGTTCATGGGTTTCTATGGTTGTCTATGGGTGCTATGAACGTCTATGACTGTGTATGGCTGCTATGCATGTCTATGGATGCTATGGGTGTCTATGAGTGCCTATGGGTGTTATGAGTGTCTATGGGTCCCTGTTGGTCTCTATGGGTGCAATGGCTCTCTTATAGGTCTCTGTGGGTCCCTGTGGGTCTCTATGGCCCTCTATGTGTCCCTGTGTGTCCCTGTGTGTCCCTATGGGTCCCTATGGGTCCCTATTGGTCCCTGTGTCCCCCTGTGTGCCGGGGTCTCACCGGGCGAGGGGAAGGCTCCGGGGTTGCAGTGCTGGAAGCGCCGCGAGAAGTGCCCGAGGACGCGCTCCCGCTCCTGCGTCTCCCCCGACAGCGCCAGCGCCCGCAGGAAGCTCCTGGGGGGGGAGAGACCGGCACTGACACAGAGCAACACCCCCGGGACCCCAAACCTGACCCCGGGACCCCAAACCTGACCCCGGGACCCCAAACCTGACCCCATTCACCCCAAACCTGACCCCGGGACCCCAAACCTGACCCCGGGACCCCAAACCTGACCCCGGGACCCCAAACCTGACCCCGGGACCCCAAACCTGACCCCGGGACCCCAAACCTGACCCCGGGACCCCAAACCTGACCCCATTCACCCCAAACCTGACCCCGGGACCCCAAACCTGACCCCATTCACCCCAAACCTGACCCCGGGACCCCAAACCTGACCCCATTCACCCCAAACCTGACCCCGGGACCCCAAACCTGACCCCGGGACCCCAAACCTGACCCCATTCACCCCAAACCTGACCCCGGGACCCCAAACCTGACCCCGGGACCCCAAACCTGACCCCATTCACCCCAAACCTGACCCCAGAACCCCAAACCTGACCCCGTTCACCCACCGACCCCACGCACCCCAAACCTGCCCCATTGCACCCCAAACCTGCCCCATTGCACCCCAAACCTGCCCCATTGCACCCCAAACCTGCCCCCGGGACCCCAAACCTGACCCCATTCACCCCAAACCTGACCCCGGGACCCCAAACCTGACCCCATTCACCCCAAACCTGACCCCATTCACCCCAAACCTGACCCCGGGACCCCAAACCTGACCCCATTCACCCCAAACCCGACCCCATTCACCCCAAACCTGACCCCATTCACCCCAAACCTGACCCCATTCACCCCAAACCAACCCCAATTCACCCCAAACCTGACCCCATTCACCCCAAACCCACCCCCATTCACCCCAAACCACCCCAATTCACCCCAATCCCCCCCATTTACCCCAAACCCACCCCCATTCACCCCAAACCAACCCCCATTCACCCCAAACCCACCCCAATTCACCCCAAACCTGCCCCAATTCACCCCAAACCCACCCCCATTCACCCCAATCCCCCCCATTCACCCCCCGCCCCCCTCCATCCCCATCCCCCCCCCCCTCCCCCCCCCATCTCTACCTCAGGGCCTGGTCCAGCCCCTGCCCCCCGAACTGGAACCACTCCAGGTACTCCCGCGCCACCATCGCGCTGAACCCGTCCCTGGGGGGGGCGGGGCTGAGCTGGAGCCGGAGCCGGGGCCGGGGCCCGGACGCGGCCCCCCCCGAACCCCCCCCATGGCCCCCCCCTCACCCGCGGCGCAGGAACGCGGCCACCTCCGACCTGCGGACGCCGTCGAGGCGGAAGAGGCGCGAAGCCAGGAGGCGCGCGTGCGCGAGGGACCCCTCCGGGGGGCTCCTGCAGCGGGAGCGCGCGTTGGGGGGGGGGGAACGGAGCGGGGCGGGGGGAGGGAGGGAATGGGGTGGAATTGGGGGGGGGATGGGGAGGGATGGAGCAGAGCGGGGTCCCTTTCTTCTCCCTTTATCCAGGCTCGACGGCTGCTGCTGCTGCAGGCACCGCCAGAGGAGCTGCCCTGCCACCGGCTCCGGCCCCCTGCAGCCGCCCCAGAAGGTCTGTGCCCGCGCAGGAGCGGGGACCCCCTGCCCTCCCCTCGGCCGCCCCCCTCCTCCTGCACGTACCCACCACGCACACAGCTCCTTCTTTAAGCTTTATGGCTGAGGTTGGCAGTGCGGCTTAAGGCTGGCACAGAAAGGTGGAAAGAGCGTCTGTGTGTCTCTGCGTGTGCGCGCTGGGCATGCCAGCGCCGGCTTGCGGGCGTGTGGCCGGCGAGGTGGAGGAGAGGCGCAGAGCGGAGCGCCCCGAGGGGCTGCTGCCTATCAAGGCCCCGGCAGGGCACCGGGGAGCCCTGCGGTGGCGGTGTCCGGGCCGCGCTGGCTCCCTCCGGTAGGAAGCTCCAGGCGGAGCCTGGTGTCAGCGCCCGGCGAGCCTGCAGGCACGCTACTGCTGCGGCTTTGGCAGGAGCTCTCGCTTCCGTCCCTCGTGTGTACAGCTGCCGGTGATGCTTTCTCCTCTTTCCAAGGTGGTTTTTTTAATGCCTTTGATAGGTAGTGTTTTTTGATTGTTGTATTTTTTGTTTGTTTTTCCGGTGTCGTTTTCGTTTATGTTACTTTTTCTTCTTGAAAGAGGTAAGCGTTGTGCGCTGTGTGGTTTGGAAATGCTTTGGCTAAGCTTTTCTAGGTCGAATTAGTGTGAGGTTGGTCTCGCATTGGTGAAAGACCGTGTTTGGGTTCTTTTTTTTTTTTTTTTGTTATGATTATTTTTTGTTTGGAAGTGGTTTCTAAAGATCATTGAGAAAACCTTTAGTCCTGACACAGTCTGCTTATGTGTCTGATGAGCCAGAAAGAGGACCTTCCCTCCGCCGCGTCCAGGCTTCCGCACTCCTAAGTTTGCGAGATGTTTCTAGGTGGGCAAATGAATGCTGTGGCTGAGATGTTTTATATTTTAACAGAAAAATACGTATCAGAAATGGCAGACCTGCAGCAGCAGTCAACTTTTAGATGCCTTTATGAGCTGATTAATTTCTGTTGCTCTTCGAAAGGATCAAAAGATGGCACTCGAAGCCCACACGACATTTCCATGACAAAAGTCAGTTTACGTTTTTAGGCAATCCTTAAACTAGCTGCAGAGCACTGTAGGTGTGCTCAGGGACGCCTGTTTCCCACACAGGAGAGTGATATGACTTTGGAGCTTTTGGAATAATTTAATGCTAACCATGCTATTTCTTGTGTTAGTGGCAGGGAGTTGTTAACATTAATATTGCTCTTCTGTTTAGCCACTGGAAGTATCACTGGACTGAAACCATTGCTTAGTTTTTCTTCAGGCTCTTGGTATTTTTATCTGCAGCACAGGCATTTGACTCAGGCAAGTACATACAGCTGCCTGGCAGAAACCTGTTAAGTTCAGTGTCAGTAACTGAGAAATTCTTAGGTCTCCATAGCATCTCCTCACTAAATGTGTCTTGCTGGTTAGTTCTCTAGATGGCAGAAGCATATTATTTCCCCCTTCAGCTGTTTCTGTGGACTAATGATTTATGCATGTTTCTCTTGTTTCGCTCTTGGCACCTTCTTGATAAAATCTGTTGCCTAATTGCTTTTGGAATTCTCTTTCCTCCAGCCTAATTATGATATGTGATGCATTTATGGACTTTATTCAGATAAATTACCCCTCCCCTACTTTCCACAATAGAAAACCCCAAACTTCATGAACACTTATATGCATATGTGATGAGGACTGTTCGTATTAACCTTTACTTAGACAAGGAAATAA